TTTAAAAAGGAAAAAGGGGCCCTTTAAAATGGACCTTGTCCCCGGGCCCGAATCTTGCCCCCGGGCACCAAACCCCCTCGCTACGCCCCTGCCCCCCCCCCTTAAACGATCTAATTTCCCCCCCCCCCTGTGGTGCGTGGGCCCCACGTTGGAAAACACCGATTGAAATTCTTTTCAGCAACAGTTCAGTCCAAAGACCATTCAAGAAATGGCTGAGGTTATTGAAAATGATGTGTGCAGCATACTAAAGCCAACAGAATTTACATTACAACTGTTTGAGTCGACTTTGCCAGGCACAGAACATTTTATTTCTTCTTACGTTGGTTTTTGTAAACAATGAAAGTTTTGTTTAAGAATTATTATAACATGCAAGACAGATAGAAACAGAAATCGAAGGGGAGTCAATATTTCGCACTGTTGAGAAGTTTGCCCACCAATAATAAACAACTTAACAAGCCGACCAAATTTTGGTTTTGTCGTCCTCCCCCCCCCCTGAAAAGATCTGAAATGACACCACTTTGGAGCAGCACCAAGGACTTGTTACTACCATGGGGTTTTTGCTTTAAAAAATAGTATAAAAATGTATTTAAAAAAAACAAAAAAGCATTGCCAACTGCCTTTACTATTTAATTTATTATGTTATTCATCGCCAACATCTGGTTGCTAAAAGTCTGACTGATCACTAGCAGCAGTCTTTAAACACCGCCATTAGTGTTGTGAATAAACTATAAGCCTAGACGCTCAATGATCAACCATGATACATTTGAATTTTTTACTGCTGAATACTGACGTTTAATGGCCATCAGAAGGCAAGCGTTTGGATTGCTTTTAACATTTATTTGATATAGTGTTTCTCCAAGTCTCTTCTTCTTCTTATACCGTTTTACCCGACCTGGGGCATAGGCCGTCCACAAGAATTTTCCGCACATCACGGTCCTGTGCTTTCCTTTCCAGTTGCTTCCATGTGTATCCCATATTTTGCGTGTTTGCCTCTAGCTCGCAGATCCATGTATTCTTAGACCTTCCTCTCTTTCTTTTTCCCTGTAGATTCCATGTTATGGATCGGCCGGTGATGCTATATTGGGTTTTTTGGAGATTATGCCCCATCCACCTCCACTTTTTCTTTATGATGTCTTCATCAATGGGCACCTGGTAAGCCCTTTCTAGTAGATCTTTGTTGGTGATGGTATTTGGCCATTTGATGATCAGGATCTTTCTAAAGCGTGTGTTTATGAATAAGGTCTGTATTTTATGCGTAATGCTCCCTGTTGTTTTCAAAGTTTCTGCTCCATAAAGTTAACCGCTAAATACAATTTGAAAAAAAAAAAAAAACTGGCATTGCTTATTTCTAAAAAAAATCTGCTTATTTCCCAGATAAATCTGCCAAAATCAATTAAATTAATTTAAAGTTGCAATAAAATAAGGCTATACTTTTATTTATAATTTTATCAAACCAAATTCAATTATCTCTACATTTTATATAAATTAATTCCGTTCAAACGCAATTTAGTCGGCGTGAGTTATTCCAAGTTTTTAAGCATATTATCTGTACTGGAAGAGAAAAAGTCAGATACCAGATAAATAGCTTGAAGTATTTTGTGTGGATATGTTACATACAGATATGTGTCAAAGCGATTTCAGATCTACTCTTGATTATCATTACACTTTGGGGCAGTGATGTGTTTATGACCTCAAGGGGGGCGAGGGACGAAAAAAGTTTGCTAACCATTGATCTAGACTAATTTCGTAAATTTGAAAAGCATACATTTTGAAAAAAAAAATTTGAATGAATACAAATAAACAAACACATTTTTGTTATCTAACATTGCTCTCTACCACCTCTAACCCAATTAACACAATTTAGCAAAGTGGAAAACCACCTCCCCACCCCCTTCGCGTTGCAGAATATGTGCCCATAACTTAATTGTTACTATATTTAAAAAGAATAAATAACTTGACGTTCGGGAAAGAAATACATTTCAAAAAAAAAATTTAGTATAATTTCCTCTGTCATGTACATTTAGGAAATCATTTAAAAAAAAAAAAATTAATAAACGCATGTTGCGAAAATTTAATGAAAAAAGATAGGAAATAAGTAATGTCCTGAGTACAAAGTTTTGCAATTGGATTTTCACGTTTTAAGAATTTCGGGAATAAGTAGTGATGTGCCACATTCGTAAAACAGATATAGATATTTAGATTCTGTCACAATGAATATAAGATAACTGAACTAAAATTTTAAAGTTAAAAAAAAATGATCAGGGAAATGAAATGATTGGTATCTTCCAATTTGAAACAAAATGTTTTCTATTTTAATTTGTATAGCACGCCATTCATATTGTCATATGTGACCATTTAAATTTATGGAACACCATCAATCGTGTACGGACCTTTGAATAAACCATGCCCCATCTTTATTGTTTCTACAGTATCGTTTATTTTCGTAAAATCATATAATCAGCAGCAAATAAAAATAATATTTCGGTTGGATAAAAGAAGCTAACGAAAACAGATGGGACTAATGGCTAGAACTATAATCTATCAACCGACTAGAGATTGAAAAGCTATATATCTGGTAAGTAATAAATTGAAAATTTGCAAACAAATCGTAGAAAGGCATTTGTAAATTTGTGGTGGAAATGAGAGTCTTATAATTTATGCGACACGTGACGGGAGCAACCAATCAAATGAGGTCATTGAATTGCACAATCGGTGAGACACTGTCGACCATTTATCTAGTGCGTTTTCACCTTTGAGTATTACAATGTCGTTCGGAAAATCGCCGTCGAATCTCGGCTATATGATAAAATATATCGGTCGCTTACATTTACCACCAGAACAGGACTAATTATGTATTTCCTTTAAATTTCAAAAATATAAAGCGTCTTAAAAATTGCCAACTAGCCAGTCTTCTGTACCATGTGACCAATTTTAGCCAATCAAAAGCGTTGCTTTCGAACTGGCTACATCCTCCTTCAAGCCAGCAGGGTGAATGTAATGCTCTTTGCTAATGTGAATGGTTCGCTTGACAATCTGACGAATGCTATGGACCCAAAGAGCCATCCGGCACTACCAGGGTACCAGCAAACCGTCCAAAGTGTCAATTCAGGGTATTTAACAGTTATTTTCATTTGATAGTATCACTATTGCTTGTAATTTAGCTACAAACATAATCGCAAAGTTACTATCTTCCAACGACCTACCCGCCATGACGGGTAGACGCTCTCTGATGCAATTCTGAAAATCAAATTATCCAATTGTTCGTGTTAAAATGTGTAAAATACCTTATACTTTTTGCAAATTGTCTTTATATTCGATTGTTCACCCATTTTCTACATTAAAAATCAATTAGAGACCATAAAATAAGTGTTTTTTCTGTTTATTTGTAAGTTAACCTAACTTAATATTGAAGAAATTAACCAGGACGCAAATTACGGGATAGTGGAATATAAAATTATACTTTAAAGGCTAATTACTTAATTTCTGGTGGGTTGGACCCCTTTTGAGACCCATTTGTTTACATTGTTTATGATTGTTATTGTAATGGCATTACTGTAATGGTTTGAGGCTAGTTTGAGCTCATTATCAGTGAGTGTGAGCCATCGAATCAACAAAGTGACACTGCTGAGCCTAACATAAACATCTTTGCCTAATTAATTGGACTATTTAAAAAAGTATCTCCTTTTGGTGCATTGGAGACTTCATTAAACTTTTCCTGCTAAAACAGGAGTAGCGGTAATAGATGACTGAGATAAGGCAATAAGTGTGGTTAAAGTAAAAAGTGTTGAACTGATTACTAGGCGATTTGGTTATTAATCTGCCGCTGCTGATAGGTGGGCTGATTATGGGTAGTTTTGCATATGAATATGTGTACAAATCTATATTATATGACTAAGAATGAATATACGACTTAGCACCACACAATTTAAAAACAAGTCACTGAAGTTATTATTAAAGGCATTGTTAAAAGGGTTATTCTGTCTTGGTCTTTTAAAGTGTGAAGTAGGGGTAAGTATTTTCAGTAACATTGCGTAGTTAGGCTCAATTACATTACTGTCATACTTGTAGTGCTTGAACAGCAACAGTCAAGATTCAAATGGAGAGATCTGGTATATACATGTTTAAAACATCCGGATCACTGACTGCAAGTCAATGGCCCATGCATTTTGTTCAATAAATTCTATATTAGAATTAATTTAAGAGAAAATGTTTTAAAATAATTGGGCCTACAGACTAAATCCCACAATGTCATTTAGCAACTTGTCAGAAGAGCAAATGAGTTAATATAAATGCTTAAACTTTTTCAGCAGTGCAAACTTAACAAGCTTAATATGAACCTATTTATTTTTCTAGCATAAATCATTGACTGACATGAAGAGGTGATTATTAATTTTTAATGACTAGTTAAATTGGTATCAGTACAGATGTCAACATGAAGTACCGTAACAGATTAGCTAATGTTGCTTATGATGATTGATGCTTGAAAATGAATTTTTATACTGGCATTGTAATAGACATTCAATTTTGCTGTACACTTGACAGACAAGAATTTCAGTTTCATCGGCCCCTCAAATCTTTTATCCTTATTTAATTGTTTTAGCGTATTTTCTCTGATCTAGCACCAGATGGTCACCATCTTGTGAAATGTAAAAATTTATAATTATGGTGTCATGAATGTAAAAAATCTTTTCTTTAAAGCTGAAAATTATACTTAATTGGTAATATAAAAATTCATCAACCAATTTCAGTTCCAACGACAACTCAAACATGACTTCTGAACAGGGGTCTATGGCTGCTAATGCTGCAGATGTAAGTATAGAGTAAAAGGGGGTAATAGGCACCATGGGGCATTACGAATAAAAATCTGTAAGCATTTATGACCCAAGTTGCAGAGATTTATTTAAGTTTAATGGCTTGCTTAGACTGGTACCGGTAATTCAAATTCTTGAATTATTTAGAAAACTTCAAGGCTTTCGCCTCCCGGGCATTAGGCCAGAGTATATATGACAGTGAAGTGCCTGTAAATCAGTGGAGGGTATATTAATTTGTCAAGTTTAATCCCAGCCATCCATTATGGGTTGAGTTGATTCATGGCTTGACGACAATATTTTTGTAATTTTTAAATTTTCAGTTTCGGATGATGTAGAGGTAGCTTTTTTTTTTTTGTTTTGATGTGGGTTTCCTTGAGATAAAATTAATCCCAACCATTTTAAACATTTTTAGATCTATGATTTTAATCATGAAGATGGCAACAGTGGTAATGAACAGCCACCTCCACCACCACCAAAACCAAAAGGTCGTCGTGGTCGTAACACCAATCAGCTTCAATTTATGTTAAAGACTGTGGTTAAAGCAGTATGGAAGCATCAGTTTGCTTGGCCATTCCATCAGCCTGTAGATGCTGTCAAAATGCAGCTACATGTAAGTAAATAAAAAGAAACTGTATGCTATAATCTAGTTTCTTAAATTTAGACGTTATTTAACAATGTTGCAAATTGTATACCTTAATATTTAAACTATTTTATCCAGGATTATCACAAAATTATCAAAACACCAATGGATCTGGGAACTATAAAAAAGAGACTAGAAACTTTTTATTACAACTCTGCCAAAGAAGCAATGCAGGACTTCAACACAATGTTTACCAACTGCTATGTCTATAACAAACCTGGAGATGTGAGTATGCTTAATAAATTAAATGTATTTAAATACAGTGGAACCTCTCATAACGAGTTTAATTCGTTCCAGACTCTTACTCGATAAGCGAAACACTCAAACGAAATGATTTTTCCCATACAAATCAATGTAAAATACGATAATGCGTTCCATGCTGAAAAAAATACTAATTTTTCAAAAAAAATTATTAACATTTATTCAAATAAAATTACTTATGAATTGTTAAGGAGTATAACAACTTGGAATACAATTTAGATTTGAAACAAAAAACATTAATAAAAATATGAATTTATGACAAATAATTAATCCCTTTTAACTAGAAAACTGTCTATAAAGACAATTTGTTTTTGTGTACGCTTCAAAATTTGACAAAAATGTGCCACAGCATTATCATTGAATAAATTTGTAGCACGAATAGCCACCTCGCTATTAGGGTGATGCTTCTCAATGTACGATGCAACCGTTTCCCATGCTTTCAGCATTTCTCTTATTGCGCTAGAAGATTGTTACTCTGCTACTTCCTCCATTAATGAGCTCTCCTCCATTAATGAGCTCTCCTGCATAAGCTCTTCGGTGGTCAACTCTTGACTGTGGTCTATCACAAGCTCTTCAATATCGTTGTTGACCACCTCGAGTCCCATGATATTGGCCAATGACACAATCTGGTTAACTGTAGACTCCACAGGTACTGTTTCACAATCAAATTCAACAACACTCTGGCCAAAGTTTTTTTCCAAGCAGAAGTGAGGGAAAAGGGTACTTCCCCTTTCTGCGTAACTCATGCGAAATGTTGCACATTAAGGGAGCAACTTCTTCACATTTTTTTTTTTTGCTCGTTATGCGAATTATTCGTTATGATAGGTGCTTGTTAACTCATTCCCGACATTTGCGACTAAATGCGCCTTTTACGGGTTTTGCCTGATGCGTCCCGGCGCATAGCGACACACCTCTCTCATATCTATTTTAAAATAGCAATGAAATCTCGCATCCCTCGAGACTTCCGGCGATGGCGTGGTTCAGCGTGATGTTAATTTAAAAACCGGAAGTCCGGAAGTTTTTATCTTGTTTCACTTTAAGTGTGCTTTAGTACGGCGTGTCTATATGTAGCATGTGTTCGTCCAAGGTGCTGAAAATCGATTTTTTGGTCATTGTTCGTTATTTTTTCCCCGCTAATGTTATATTTATATTAAACCTTATTCATTTTTTGTTGCATTTGTTCTTAATTCATTAACATTAAATAATATTTAGTAGCTTAAATACATGTTTAAAAAATGTAAACAATTTCAAAACCGGGTTACTTCCCTTTCTCGGGCAAATAAATTAAATACGGAAGTAGCATTGCAGGAGGGAATGAGTTAAGAGAGGTTCCACTTTATCTATTTTTAAAAAATAATAATTTGTCTAGATCTTCCTCCCGGGCATTAGGCCAGAGTCGCTAAATGACAGTGAAGTGCCTGTAAATCAGTGGAGGAAACATCAATTTGTCAAGTTTAATCCCAGCCAGCCATCATAGGTTGAGTTGATTCATGGCTTGACTACATATCTTAATGAAGATGTAAAGGTATATTTATTAGAGCAGTAATCCAAGTTTAAGAAGATAATTGTTCAATAAATAGTTAAAAAATAGCAAGTGTACAGCAATGTTTTGAATTCTTAATTATTTTTGTTTATCTTTTAGGATATTACCTTGATGGCACAGGAGCTGGAAAAATTATTTTTACAGAAAGTTGCTGACATGCCCCCTGAGGTAATCGCTTTGTCCCAAGCATCTGTTTAGTCTACTGCTGTTTAGACAATTATTTGTACATATTTAAAATTTATTTTGGCTTTTGCTTTATCTTAATTCCTTTCAAATTTTTCAATTATTCTATACTAAATAATGTCAATAAATGTCTGATAATAGGAAATAGAGTTACCTATTGGTGGTAAGAAGGGGAGAGGAGCTAAAGCTGCAGCTGCGGCTGCTGCGAGGTCAGCATTGAAAAGCATGTCAACCGCATCAGAAAAATCTGTAGTGCCTCCTCCGATTCCAAGAAGTACTCCACCTCGATCTGCTACTGCACCAGCATATCAATCACCTACAAAAGCTGCCATGATTGCTGCCAATGCAAACATTATCCCAGCAGCTTCAGCAACAACTCAGACTGGCTCTAAACTAGCTATGTCAACATCAGTTTCATTAGAAGACATTCAGCCAGCTGCTGCACAAAATTTACCAGCTGTATTACCATCACAACCATCCAAAGTAAGATATGCATGTATTATATTAATTTTTAAAAATATAACATAACAATGTTTATTTTTTTAACAGTAATTTGAAACTTTTCATTTTACAATCATTAAGTTTTTCTCATTAACATGTTAACAGCCAAAAAAGAGTCTAAAGAGGAAGGCTGACACTACTACTCCAGGTACTTATATTGGATCCACAAATATGCCACCTATGCTTTATGATCCACCATATGAGCCTATGAAAATAGGTGGAAAAGGACAACCAAATCGCCGAGAAAGTGTACGCCAAATTAAAAAACCAAAGCGTGACCTTCCCGATGAGCAGGGAAATGTAAGTGACGCAAGTGTAAGTTTCTGCGACATTTTTATGTGGCACTTTTTTCCCCTTTTTAGTTACATTTAAGCTTAATTACCGGTATCAAGTTGTATGCATGTCAATATCTATTTCTAAATTTAAAAAAAAATGAGTAATCTTTAAAATACAAAGCTGATTGTTATTTGCTTGACTCAGTTGCGAATCGGGAAACTTGAAAATTTTAGGGCTCACTAGACATTTACAAAATTTTTATTAAAATATTTTTAAAACAAAACTTCTTGTTCTGGCAACAATGCATCGGGCAAGAATATAAGAGAAATGCACACATGTGGTTTTTAATTGCATTTGCTTGGCAACTACCATATAGCTGACTTGTATTGGGTTTTTGGCCGTTACCTATTGCTTTCTTAGTCCAACTAAGTGTAATGATTTTATTGCAGTTATTTATCGCTCTTTATACTTTTTGTATTCTCAGTTTTTTGGGCTAAAAAGTTCCCTAACCCATGTTCTTACTATAAATGAATATTTTCTTATTTTACGACAGGCCCAGCATAGCTCTAAAGGCAAGAAAGGCAAGCTTACCGAACAGATGCGTTATTGCAGTTCTATCGTTAAAGAACTTATGACCAAAAAGCACCAGGTTTGTAATAATTTTAAAAGAAGGCTTAAGTAAGAATATTTTTTTTTTGACGATAATCATTTCTTGCATGTTTTCTCCTCCCGGGCATTAGGCAAGAGTCAATGACAGTGAAATGCCTGTAAATCAGTGGAGGGTATATCAATTTGTCAAGTTTAATCCCAGCCATCCATTATGGGTTGAGTTGATTCATGGCTTGACGACATTATTTTATTCTCATGATTCCTGTTCTTATTTTCTAAGTTTATGTATGTTATATATTTAAAAGTCAAGTAAGTTTTTTATAAATTGTATAGGTTTCTTGAAATAGCAGCATTTTAATGCATTCTATTATGTAAAAGTTTCTACAAATTATAACATTTATATTAATAGGCATATGCATGGCCCTTTTTAAAGCCTGTTGATGCAGAGGGACTGGGACTTCATGACTATTATGATATTATCAAGAAACCTATGGATCTTGGCACTGTCAAGGTATGCTCATGATCTGTTTATTTAGAAGAGCAAACTATAATGAGCATCTTATTCTTTATAACTATAAAAAGTATAAATATTTTTTAATTTTTTTTTATTTGTAGAAAAAAATGGAAGATCGAGAGTACAGAATGGCTAGTGATTTTGCTGAAGACGTGCGACAAATATTTCAGAACTGTTACAGATATAATCCGCCTGATAGTGATGTAGCAAAGATGGGTCGGAAACTTCAGGTTAGCTTATTATTGATCATGGTGATCATCACTTCTAAATGTAGTCACTAATGTGAATTATAAGGCTATTATGTTTAAAATGCAATTGTTTTTGTTATTATAAATAATTTTAGGTACAATATCTGCCTCCTGGGCATTGGGCTAGAGTCAGTGACAGTGAAATGCCTGTAAATCAGTGGAGGAAACATTAATTTTTCAAGTTTAATCCCAGCCAGCCATTTTAGGTTGAGTTGATTCATGCTTTGACGACAGTTTTAGTTTTTAACAAACTTTACAAATTAAACATGATATTCAAAGTATAAATATTCTTAATATTTTATGAGAGGTTTAATTATGATAATTAATTTTCAGTGCTTAGTATTTAACTTCTTGACCATGATCAAAATTTGCAGGAAGTCTTTGAACTTAAATATGCACGAATGCCTGAGGAACCAGTTCAAACTGATCCAACCCCTCCTTCATCAGTTGCATCTGGTTTGACAAGGGGTGATGAGGGCAGCGGGCTGTCTTCCAGTGCAGAAAGCTCTGATGATGACAGTGAAGAGGAGAGAGAGAGAAAGCTAAAAGATTTACAAGATCAGGTGTGTATAGCTTTAAAGAGTATACATTTTGTATTTGTGATCTTAATACGTATTTCTGTATTATCCACTAAGTTATATCTTGACATTTTCCATTTCTTCTCATAACCAGCTTGCCAAGGTTCAAGAACAATTGGCGTCACTGACAAAAGAACATGTACAGCGGTTAAAGGAAAAGAGTGAAAATAAGACTAAAAAGAAAAAGAAAAAAGATAAGGTTAAAGATGAAGTTAAAAAGGAAATTATTGACACTGTGAATCCACCTCCTCAAGTACCAGTGGCTTCTCTGCCACCTCCAGCTCTAAGTAAAGACACTCCTAAACCAAAGAAGAAATCAAAACAAAAATCTCCAGCTGCTAAAAAGCCCAGAAACAACAGCATCAGCCGTACAGGCTCTAATCGTAAACGTTCAAGTGTACTGCCGCCTGGTCCTCCTATTGTGCCACCTTTTGACAGCGATGATGAAGATAATGCAAAGCCAATGACTTATGATGAGAAGCGACAACTGAGTCTCGATATTAATAAGCTGCCAGGTAAGCTGGTCAGATTTAGGCAGCTTGCTTAAGTGAGGCATCAGATTTGTGGGAATTAGTGCTTGCATGTTTTCTAGCTCTGTGTATTTCCTATGGATAATAAATCATCAGTGGTAGTGGACTTAAATATTCAAATCAAGGTATGTATAATACTGTTGATGCAGACAACGTAAGTATTCTATCTGTTTGGCCAAGCAGATATATTTCATTGGAAGTTTGTGTTGACTATCTTGTCTTCAGAAAATTTTATTTATAACATGCTCTTGATTGCAGGTGACAAACTTGGTCGGGTTGTCCATATTATACAGTCCAGAGAACCGTCCTTGAGAGATTCAAATCCTGATGAGATTGAAATTGACTTTGAAACATTAAAGCCTTCCACATTAAGAGAACTGGAAGAATATGTTATGACCTGTTTAAAAAAAAAACCAAGAAAAACATACAGTATGTTAATAAGTGTTTGATTGTCTTCCTTTACTCATAAATTTAGTTAACCATCCTTTAAACTTTGAACTAGGCTGTAAAAAAAGGAATGTATTAAAGTTTTGTGGTGATGTACTTTTTTCTTTTTTCCAGCTAAGAAAACTTCAGGCAAATCTAAAGAAGAGGTTCAGAGAGAGAAAAAAATAGAACTTGAAAAGAGACTTGAAGGTGTTCAGCAACAATTGGGTCAAACCAAGAAGTCAAAGAAAGGTTGGTAGTTTTACTTGTAGCTTTTAGATTTTACTTGATATAATGTCCATTAATTAGTTCCTTAAACAATGGTGTATTTCTACTTTGTTCCCCAATTGCCATAATTATCTCCCTTTTTTTTTTTCTCCTCAGAAGATGGTGCTCCTGGCAGTGACATGCCTGTATCAAGCCGACTGAGTGCAAGCAGTAGTAGTACATCAGGCAGTGATTCAAGTAGTGACAGTACTTCTTCCAGTTCCTCAGAAACTTCAGACTCAGAATCAGGTTAGCTTATCATGCCAGTAATGCAAATTCCTAATTACTTGAATGTCACTCGCTTAAAAGAACAGCCTGAGTATCTTTAATAAGTTGGGTAATTAAGATCTGAGTTTCAGAAATTGCTGTGTTCAATTTTTAATCACGCTATTGTTTTATTTATTAAAAAGTATACGTTTGTGGGAGTTTTCTGCGAAGTTAACTTTAAAAAAATTATTTGGAATGGTTCAAAACTTGTGATAGATATATGAAGAGTTTGTTAAAACTCATTTTCGTTAGCTTACGAGAGGTATTTCGCTACACATTTATTCAATTAAAATTGTAAGCAATTTAACTTGGCTAACATTAGCCGTTGTAGGTTAATTTCAATGCTCCAATCTTATTGAATAATAAGATATGTTATTTTTATGTATGTATGTTTGTTTGACTCAAACAAAAGATTGTGAATAATGATTATATTGTGTGCAATAATTAAAATGTAGGTAAGACCAGTTAGTTATACACTGTTAGAAGTGAAGAAATACTGTGAACATGTTGATCTGCTGTTGCTGTAACACTTAATTTACCTTTGTTAAGTTTGTTTGTAAAACTATCTGTGTGAATGTTGGTGGGTGATTGTGAGTGCAGTGTGTGCTAAGTAGAGGCCAGTCAATTTGGGTTTCCCTTTCCACCTAAAATGTTTTGTTTGGTTGAAAATATCATAAAGTAACAAATCAGTTACCATTTACACATTGCATAATTATTTTTTTTTCCCATTCTATGCTCTTCATGCTTCTTGCATAATTTCATTTCTAAGTAATAGATTGGTGCTACGATTTACATTTCATCTTTTTTCTTATCACACATTGCAGCCATGTTGCATTATTTGTTGCAAGTTTTTTGTTTTAGTCTATTGTTCTGAAATTGCAATGAAGTAAGCATATCTTATTGGTATTTTAAAACCTTATTTTGACAGGGCTTGGATCTTGTCTTAAATAAAGCTGTAAATATTGTATAAACTTAAATAGGAAAATATATATTTTGTTCATATACATGGATAGTCCCAGCCCTGCCAAAATAACCCCTGTTCTTTATGAGCATGATAGTAGTAATCAGTTGTTTGCTCTGATGTAAAGACATTACATTCTTATAGAGAACCTTGTCTCGTAACCGTAGTTCTGGCCTCCACTTGGACATTGCTATTGCACTCACTGGCATATTTTCTATATATATATTATATATATTTTGTACATTCCTTTTTATTTTTATACTTGCAAACAATCAATATAAGATTAAATTCTATTTGCATGTCTTCAACCCCAGCAAGAGGGGGGAAGACAAATCTTTGCCACTGTCATTAATTTAGACAAATTTAAAACGAAAAGGAAACAATGGAAATTGCAACTGATTGGTATGGGAACAACTTTTAACTTTCATTTGTGCATGTTAAAATAGAGTTAGCTGCTTAAAAACTATTTAATGTAAATTTTCATTCCTATCATGCTCATAAAGTATTATCATATTTGTTTATTGTGCAAGAAGTATTGAAGAGTATTGTATGGGTCTACTTTAACCATTTGTTTTGTACAGATTTCATTCTCATTCATAGAATCACCTTTTTTTACACCATTAATAAAACGAAATACAATTGTTTGTACTCCTTGACTGGCTTCTGCTGTTTTAAACACATGCACTTTGTTTTGTTGTTGTGAATGAGATTGTAAATGGACTCTTAAGAGTATTATCTTGTAATGCGTCTTGTGTTGTACAATTTCTTATAAACAGATTACTCAAACTAACACATTTTAGTAAATATTTGAAAATGCGTTCCTTAACTTTTCATGAACAAATAAAAAAAAATATCATGCATTCCAAACGTTCTGAAACAGAATAATACTCATGCTATTGCTTTCCATTCGTATATAAATTACAGAAATTAACATGCTGAATATACTAAATTAGGAATTATTATAGACATCAAAATGTTATTTTGATATTATCACAAGCTTGTTCCTTCATGTAAGGAATACTTCAATCAATGTGCCTATGTGCAAAATACAGAAAACGAATGTACACAACAAATAACATCCGGATTTTATTTAGGCTGCACCCCTAGTTTAACTCATTCTTTCCGGCAGTACTACTTCGGCGCTTAATTTATTTTCCTGAGAAAAGGGAAGCAACTCAGTTTTGAAATTTATTTACATTTTTAAAATATTTTTTAAGCTGCTAAATAATAATAAATGTTAATGAAATTTTAATGTTAAGGACGAATGCATTAAAAAAAATGTATAAGGTTTAATAAAAATATAACATAAGCTGCGAAAAAATAATGAACAATGGCCAAAAAATCTTATTTTTGGAACCTCGGACGAACACATGCACATTTAGAAGTGCTGTTCTAAAGCACACATAGTTTTAAAGTGAAGCAAGATAAAAAAAAACTTCCAGTTTTTAAATTAAAATCACTCAGAAATCATGCCATAGCCGGAAGTCTTGAGGGAAGCAAGATTTCATTGCTATTTTTAACTTAAAAAAAGAGAAGTGTATCGCTATGCACCGGGACGCATTTGGGTGCATCAGGAGAAACCCCCCCAAATGACGCATTTAGTCGCAACCGTTGGGAATGAGTTAGATTAATTTAGGGGAAAAGTGAAGCCGAGGGTTAGAACAATGTCATTCCATGTGCTCAGCTTGACAACTCCACATGAGAAAAGTTGAGTGAACTAAAAATTTTAAAAAAGCTTACTTCAATGCAATCGTAAATTAGCAATGCCAAAAATTATCATTTGGTCCACATAGATAGGGTGAAGTGATTGCTTGAAAACATGAATCTATTTGATATTAATTTGTAAATTACAGTTTATATTTACATTTGATCATTGGGCAGTATGGTTTTGCTAATTCAGTTTCAGGATAGCTGGCAAGGTATTCATATTTGGCTTACTATGAGAGTTAGGATTGTTCTCCCAGATCACTTGCTATCAGTGGGTAAAAGAAAAGGAAGACTTTAATAACCTGGAGTTATAATTAAATGGAACCACAGTTTGCACACTGTTTTCATCAAGTTAAAATTAATCTAGTGTCATCTATGGGTAAAGAAATGACCTGTTGGGATCAATTTGTGAGCTCAGTATTTGTTGGGGAGGAAAAAATCTCTGCAATCAGTAAGCAGCCAAGTTTATTTTGTGTTAAAATGTGTCCATCTTTGGAGCTTATAGGCTTACCAGTTATTAAATTAAGGACATGTTTTTTTTTAAAAATTGGTTTAATGACATTTAACAAGCTAGCTGCCTGGTCTGTGCTTTGGGATATGCTTCAAAATATACCAGAACCACTCGGAGTCGCTCCTGAAAGATTTCCTTCTTTCAAGGAATGGATACAGATTTGTTAAAATTCAGATAATGGGTTGCTGTTTCTTGTTTACAAAACAGTTATAATTTTATTACAACACAAACACAATTTTAAAAATGAAAATGAGTTGCTCCCACCTATTTGCAGTTAAACATATCTGATCCTTGTCAATCCGTTATGAAAGTTCCTAATTTCTTTCATTCTTGCAATCTGTATCCATTGGAGAAACCACACAACTCGGCACATGTTCCAAATAAATAAGCAGTAATCATCTTTCATCACAGAAATTCACTCAGTAGGTTGCAGTTTTTATTGGACAACCAGCTAAATGAGTATTGAATTACCTGTCTATTGTTCAGACCAATAAAAACCTAAAATATATTTTAATATGATCTGTTTTGTTCAAAAAGCTTACATTAAAATAATAAAGGGTATCCACCAAGAAATCTTGAGGTTTTTTTTATGCAGGCAACTACTGAAACTGTGCAGTATGTTATACTATAACTGACAACTGTAGTCATATTTTTGCGTTATTTCTTGTAATCAAAATAATTACCGTTAATGCATCTTTGGGTAGGGTAATAATTGGTAATGTGGAGTAGCCCACTGCTCTTTCAGTCTCGAACATAAGAAAAAGAGAGGGAAAAAATTCTCAACAGTCAGCAAAGTATCAGTGGCTTGTGATTTCTTGAGATAGTTAAGTAATAATGATAATTTAGTTTCATATTTTTAAATTTGACCCTTCCGGTAATTAGTGGTTTACAGTGTGTGATCCACACAACCCTATGGTTGTAGTATGGCTTTGTAAAGTTTGAGCAAAAACTAGCCAAAGAAAATTTTTAATGTGAATTTTTTAAAAAAACACAAAGAACTGTTCAATTTGCTTTTGGTACCGGTATTCAATGAAACGGATAACATCCTAGCATTACAGAGGTTTAAAGCTAAGTGAACTGGATGGAACCTGTAGAGGAAACAATTTATACATTCATCATTCTTTAGGATTTATACCTATATAATGAGCAACATAAACATCGTGACACACTGCATCAACAAAATCCTTTTATTCTTTGACCCCTAGAGTGGAAATGCTTACAGATATTTCCATGTGTGAAAGACATCTTTGTAAACATAGCAAAGCAGGTGAAAAGAAAGCTCTTAGCACTGTCAACCTTACTGAGAAAAATCGTTTTCAAATATTGATTAATGAATAAACTTTAAAAATTGTAAGCAGGGGGAACAGATTATTTTCCAGACTTGTAATATTGCCATTACCTTGCGCATCTTTGGAAAGGGGAAGGAGGTACTAAGGTGGGCTGTGAAAATTATTTAGTCAATTAGTCCTGACTTTTTGCAAGGCTAACGAGTCGAAAGAGAACTATAATCTTTGAATTTTTGCACATCAAGATGTTGCGTGTGCATACCTTGTCCTCATATTCAACACATGTCTCTGGTATAAGAAAAATTCAACTGATTTCTTTTGAGAAGGTCCATGACCGAAAATGTTTCAAACAAATACTCTTCGAATCTTTGAAATTTATTTTATTCAATTCTCTTTTTTTAAATGCTAGTTTCATTAAAAATAAATTGTAAGTTAGATGGTTCATCATTTCCTATTTGAAGTGTTGGTATATATATTATTATTATATGTGTTTGTAAACCAGACAGCTAAACATTACATTTATAACGACCATACCCGGTACTAGAAATACATTTTATGGAACCAAACTTCATTTGATAAGTAATTTTTTTTCTCCAAAGAACATGTATTAGCAGACCTGCCAATGGCCAACCCTTCCAATTTTGTCGGAATTTTACAAATTTTTACCCCTCAATCCGACCTTTCGACAAACCCCTTAAAATTCCGATTTTCATAACATTATAATAAAGAGCTGTTGACAAGTGCAAAAAGGCCACTAGGTATATGCTGGAAAACTGAATTCTTGGCAACCTGTCTACATAGTAAATGTGTAAATAAAATGGATATTCTGTTCTGTATATAATCATTTCCAGTACATTTTTCTCAAGTTCTGTGGACTCTTTTCAAAGACAATGGAGGTAACTTAGTATTTCTTTATTTACTAAAAAAAAAAAAGGCTTGTGTATTAGTATCTAGATTTTAAACCAGGCGCTGAAGGTATGTAGTAGTAATGTAACTGTTTTGTACCGTTAGTTATTAATTTTGCTAAAATTTAACTTAATTCTACATAGTAAATGTGTAAATAAAATGGATATTCTTTTCTGTATATAATCATTTCCAGTACATTTTTCTCAAGTTCTGTGGACTCTTTTCAAAGACAATGGAGGTAACTTAGTATTTCTTTATTTACTAAAAAAAAAAAAAAGGCTTGTGTATTAGTATCTAGATCTTAAACCAGGCGCTGCAGGTCTGTAGTAGTAATGTAACTGTATTGTAACGTTAGTTATTCATATTCCTAAAATTTAACTTAAAATTGCCTAGTAAAAGTATATTAAAAAAACTTTCCAAAAATATTTTGATTAGACGGGGGGAAAAAAGGCTGGGAATTCTGGACAGGGTGTGTACTTACTGAAAGACTGCTACTTACCGGTACTTGTCCTTGATTTAAATGTCTGAATTTTGACTTGAGGTTTAAAGTCTGGTCTGTCTAACTTTTCTTTCTGCACCAGCGCTCTCACTCTATCTCCAAGCAATCTCTTCCTGCAGTCTCTTCCTATCTACTATCGCAAACAGAAAGTTCCTGATGATTTCTGTCTGAACCTTGGATTAAATGGTTAGTTCCCGAGGTGAAATACTTTACCATCGGTTCGATATTGGATGCTGATTCAGGTGTCTCCTTTTCTGAACGTGTCAGACAGCAAGGCAGAGAACATGATGCTGAAAAGTGTTGGTGCAGGGGCACAACCTTGTTTGATGCCATTAGAAATGGAATGGTTGAGACATATCTCCATTTTCCCAGACCCCAGCCTGGATACTGTCGTTGAATTGCCTTATCTTTGAAATGAACTTTTTGTGTCGTCCATATTTGCCCATATTCTTCCAGAGATCTTCCCTGCTGACGTTTTTTAGCATTTTGGTTACGTTTACTTAAGTGGAGAAGAGGTCAACATTTTGTTCCCGACAATTTTTTCTCTAGCTGTCTGGCAGCGAAACTATTTTAAGATATCATGCTCTTTGCAAAAAACTATTGACTTTTTGGCAGTAGATCCTTCTCAAGATAAGAATTAACTCGGTTTAAGAGGATTCTAGTGTGAGTATCTTGCCTGCAATGGAGAGCAAAGATACGCCACAGTAGTTGTCACAGGATTGATGGTTCCCTTTACATTTGTACAAATCCTTAAAATCCTGTGATATCTTTTGTTGCTGCCAGATAAGTAGGAATAGCTGGTGAAGCCTTTCAGCCAGAACTGTGCCACTTTCTTTGAAAATTTCAGCTGGCATGGAGTCATCACCTGGAGCTTTGCCACTCGAGAGAAGGCATATAGCTTGTTGCATCTCGTTTAATTAAGTTAGGGGTTCTTCCATTTTTTTTATTGATGGCACCTGCAGGAGTTGATTTATGGATTCGTCTTTGGCGGATGAAGGGCAATTTAGGATGTTCCTACAATCAAAGTGCTCTGCCCAACATACGATGATGAAGTGGAGCCGTAGATTTTTTTGAGAACAGAGTAGAAATTTCTCAGATCATGTCTGGCTGCATAACCCTAGACCGCGTCAGGCTCGTCACTCTACCATTTTTCCTGCTTTTGACGTAGTTTATGATGCAATGTTCTTCTTATGTTGTTGCATGCATCTTTCCTTGGAATTGAATTTGGGTTGTTAAGATAGGAGTTGTGAAGACTGTTTATACTCCAACAGCTGCATGATTACCATACAGTTTTCATCGAACGAGACCTGATTTTTTTTATTTTTTTTGGAGCATGGTCCCAGAAACTTGATACCGGTAGCGGTTTTGTGATGCCCAATCCAATTTGATGTGATTATCTTGACATGTGGATTTCAGATCTTCTTCCATAGCATCCAGCAAAATTTTTTTTTACACTCACGCTCTTCAATAGGGATCTTCCTTCTCTTCTTCTGTATTTTGAGGGCTCACTTTCAATGTATTGATCATTCTTGCTCTTATGTTTGTAGAGGGGTTCGCGACTGCATGGTTTTAGAAAGGGTTCACAGCTTTCAGTGAGTGGCACACTTGGTTGAGCTTGATGATCCCGAGATGATAGGCTGTCACACAGTCTTCACCACATACAGTCTTGGTTACATGCATGTCCTGACTGTCCTTTCTCCTGTTAATAACATAGTCGATAAGATGCCAACGTTTTGAGTGAGGTGTGCATTCAGGATATCCCATTACATATGTGAAATTTTTTCTGTTTAGCAGAGCGCCGCACTTGACATCTCAAAAAAATTAGAAAACTATTCACATCATTAATACTTAGTACCTTATGCATAAAAACATATCCAATAACATTATCTGCTCCGGCTAAAAAAGCAAGCAGTTCCTCAATTAAATATTTTGCTTTAAATTGTTTTAAAGTACTGGGTATCACTAGTAGCTGCTCTCATTAAATTTTCGAATGTTAACCAGTAAAAGCTTTTAATTTTTTGGATTTGGTGTTGTTGATTACCAGTGTAGAGAATCCAGCTGGACTGACGTAGATACTTCCAATTTTGTTACATTCCCCTATGCCTGTGGAAATTCATCAGCAGAAACATGCGTCATCCAGAAATCATTGTTCGTTTATAAATAAATAATAATCTCAAGAGTCGTATTTGTACAAAACTTTTCTTGTTCAAGGGTAATGTACCGGTATTAAAAGTTTTAATTTACTTAACCTTGTTTGGTCTGGTTAATCTTTTACAGAATCACCAAAGAAGAAACAAAAGGCTACTTCCAAAAAATCACACACAGCAATTAAGGTTTGTATACAGTATTTATTTTAAATGAAACATTGATAATTTTTTTATTTATGACGGCTCCACAACTGGTGTGCCGCAAGACTAGACTATGTGTGCCGTGGCAAAATGCCCCAAAATTTTACAGTTATCATTTTTATTTATGGGATAAAAATGTAATTGAAAAAAGGGGCAAAGATAACCTTTTTACCAAACATTCAAACTTGTCCTGTCATATAAGTGCCCAAGTAAATGTGGCGAGTTGTATGGTCTCATGGAAAATGATTACTATGAATGTTAAGACTAAAAGCTCTACTCTACACATGAATGTTTATTACCCAAATGTATTCTGAGCTCAAATATTTTTGGTTTGTTTTAAGTGTAGTGTCCTGTGGCAGTCTGAGAAAGTCTAGGTGTGCCATGGTTTAAAAAAGGTTGCGGAGCACTGATTTATAACTCATAAACATCACATAGCTGGTTTGTTACAATTAACTTAATTTGTTACAGTCTAGTCCACAAGCAAAGATCTCAGTTGGAGCCACAAACAGCAGTGATATATCGCCACCTATTAACGTCACCTCACCTGTGATCCCTAACGCATTCCCTAAAGTTCAGCCTACGCCTACTGCTGCCGCACTCTCTTCTCTAAATACAGTGAAAATTGAAAACCATTCTTTGTTAAATGCAACGGTTGGATTTACAGACACGTCGAACTCTCCCATTATGAATTTTTCTGGCCATTCAAATACATCTCCTTTAAATACTGGTGGTAAGTTTAATTCTCTATTCTTTCAAACCAAATTAAAATATTTCATTAAGAGCTATTCATGAATAAATCATTTTTGGGAATTCATTGTACCTGTATGGTAAATTATTGTTTGAAATTTATGTGGGGCTGAGCCGGGCGCAATTGTTTTAAAATGGGTCCAGGTTCAGGTATTACAAAATAGTTTTTTTCCCTCATTTTCTTCAACTCATTCCAGATGGATGCGTTCAATCGCGTAGCTTCACACCTCATTTTTATTTTAAATAGCAATGACATCTTGCATCGATCGAGACTTACAGTGATGGAGTGATTCTGTGTGATTTCAATTTAAAAACCGGAATTTGAGGTGCCAAAATCGATTATTTTTTTTTGTCATTGCTGATTTGTTCACCATTAATGTTATATTTTTATTAAACCGTATTCATTTCTGGATGCATTTAGCCATAATTAATTAAAATTAATTAATATTTAGCTATTTTAACAAGTAGTTTCCAAATGCACATCAATTTCAAAACAGAGCTACTTTTACTTCCCTTACCCAGGAATATAAATTAAGTATGGAAGCAGGACCGCTATTGGGAATGAGTTGTTATCCACCTAATAAGGGTAGAACCAGTAGCAATCATGAAGGCATCAAAGTTGAAGGCTTCAAAATGCTAATAACTAAAAGCTGAATAATATAATCCTAACCCAGGGGTCCTCAACCTTTTTAGTGCCATAACCCCTCTTATAACATTTGCCAAGTTGTGGTTGTGGCGACCCACAACCATAACTATACCTTGCAATTGAGAAACATGCATTGTAAAAAGGGGAGGGGCAGAGCCTGTTTTGTACCTATTTAAAAAGGTGTTGATACTGTAATTTTAATGGGGTGGAGGAAAGCAGAAATAAGGGCTAAGAAAGGTGGATGGTTCTGTAGAGAGGGGGGCAGTTATTCCCCAGAAAAATTGTGAGAATATAAATATTATAAATGTAATTTTAAAAGAAACAATATTTATATCAAATTAGCTGCTGACAACTACCTAATGAATCATAGTTTTTACTTTAATTTTATGTAGTGGTAATGTAGTCATAGTGTAATAACATAAAGAAACTATTCCTATCACTGTAAAGAAATAAAGGGAAAATTTGTACAAATAAGAAAAATTGAAAATTTTTACACACACACCCCTCTCCCTTTTCAAATTTGGAATTTCTTAAGCAACCCCTAACATACTGTCAGGTGAATCCCCTGAGGGGGGGTTGTGGCCCATTTGTCGAGAACCATTGTCATAACCTATAAACATAACAAAATCAGATATTAAATTCCACGGTCATAACCAAAGTTATGCATCTTGCTAGGACAAAGGATTATGCAAAATTTACATCAAGTACATTATTATTTTGGTTCCTTTAGCTTACATTTAGTTTCTCACCTATTGCTAGTCAGTTTTTATGTATTTTTTTCAGGTAAAATATACAAACAACACTTTTCATTTCTCCCCATTGGGTGGAACACATAGAAAATGAGTAGTTAAATCTCCTTTTTTTTTAAAAAAACCTGGACCTTTTTCGTATATTTGTTGGTGTGCTAGTATTTGGCTTACCGCTACCTGAGTCAGTATCCAGCTCAGCCCTAAATTTAGCATGATTTCTCAATTGCTTTTTAAAAATATTTTAACAATATTGTACTTTTGAATCAATATTTAATCATGTTGAAAAGGAATGATATAATATATTCCTAAAAATTAAAGAAGAAAAAACACTTTTTCCTCAGCTAATTCTATTAACAGAACTATAACCCACCCTATGCCTGCACAGCCTGCCAAACAACCTATATCTGTTGCCACACCAAAACCAACACCAAGACCCAGCAGTAAGCTATTGATTTGTTAAATTCCTATAACTACTTTTTGGGGTTGAATTATTTTTTTTTATTGAAAATAAAACATTTTGTTGCCTCATCATGTTTTATTTTTCTAATTAATGTTGCAATTTCCTAAATATAATTTATTTTTAATAGCATTGTGATTAAACAACATTCCTCACCACCAAGCATTATTTACAGTTCCCATGACTAGTACTCCAGTGCCTGGGGCAGTTGATCGTCCATTTGCTGCCATGCCAGGACTAGAAAGTACACCGGCTGCTAGCTTACCTGGTAGACGGCCTTCCAAAGAAGGTTTAATGCTAAATCAAATCGAACAGCAGTCGCAACAACAGAGGCCTCGACTTGGTTCAGGCATCCCTGTATCAGCCCCAAGAAAAGATAATCAGATACGATTTTCACTAAGCGATGAAGACTCAAGTCCTTGTCCCAGTCCTCCTAAATCAGCCCCACCTGCACCGCCTGGGGCTACTGTTTGTAAGTGAAGAATTATATAGTTTACTAATTGTACATAGTTTTACTTGATATCATTAACCAATTAGGACTCGTGACTTCACATTCCCTTGGGTTCCCGGCAAAAATCCACTTGGAACGGACGCCATAGGCACAACTAAAATAAAAAATGACAGCTATTTTATGAATTAAATAGCCATCAAATAAAGAAAAGTATTATTTGTCATTAAATTAAGAAATATATTGTAACAAATTAATTCATTTTTAAAATTTCTATAAACCAATATAACAAGTCTATATTTTTCTAAACTGAAAGAATATTGTTTTCTGTGTCTGAAAAACATATTTTGATGACCAATAGCACCAAACGGTTAGTGTGGGTGTGAGATTGAATGATAAATAGTAGCACAATTGTACTCACTGTTGAAAGGTCAAGGTCATATTTATTTTACATAGCTCACAGAATTTCAACATTCATACCATAAGATTCCTTGTCCAACTTACTCTCAGAATATCTGTACTTACACTTCTGTGGGTCTCTAAATTCATTTTCTATTAGATTTGAGTATTTTAGTGATACAGATCAAAACCACCTCATGTTTGCTTTTGACTGTTCATGGGTTAAGGATATATTTGACATGTAATACAGGTAGTGTGCTGTTTATTCAGATGATCATAAAAAAATGTAGGGAACAAAAACTAATGCATTTGCTAAATCCTTAGTTTTAAAATTACAATATTTCCATTTCAGCTGCAAGTGGTGTTGGTGTTACTTATGGTATAGGCTCCAATCATCTTAACAATTCCATCAAGTCAAATGATGTAGAAAATAAAACACCCTCATTACCCGCAACACAAGTTCCAGGAAAGGTAAACAATTTTAAAATTTGATCAAACTATCCATGAAAAAAGATTTTTAACCAGTATTTAAAAAATAAATAAATTATTGTACTGTCTGATTTTAATTTATGTTTACCTATTTTGCGTCAATTAGTGTACAAATTATAAATGTACATTTTTAGCCTATAAGGCACAAAATTATCTTTTTATCTAATGACCTTTTCCAACACTGAATTAAGGGGCATTGATCAGTATAGGTTTTTATTCTTTAAGAGTGGGTGCTCTTTCAGAGAAGGATGTTTCATTAAAAAAAATTTCTTGCATCTTGCGCTTTTAACTTGATACAGCAATTATTATTCATATGTTGCACACAGCCTGAGATAAAAATGAACAATGCCCAGTCATGGAATTCATTAGCTGCATCTTGGCAATCCAAGTCACAGTCTACCTTCCAACAGTTTAAGAAAATGAATGAAATGAAGGCACAGAAGGAAGTCTTTTTGAAGAAAGCTGAAGAACAGAAACAAAAACTTGCCAAAGAGAAGCAACGGATGGAAGAAGAAAAGAAACGGTTAGTTCATTACCTTCCTGAAGTTTGTTTAATTTTTTTTTTGGTGCTTAATTTAAACCATATTCTCGTTATATTTGTTTCTGGCTATTGCATGGAAAGAGTATTCATTTATATTAATAATATATTACTAACTAAAAATTGTTGTGTTGTTTAATAAAACTTACAACTTTTAATTAGTTGACTAATAAGACAGATTCTTCATTGATATCATTTTGATATGGCCTAGTGTAATCTTATTTTAATTTTAGAGAAAGGGAAGAAGAAGAAGGAATAGAAGCTGCTCGTATAAGAAAAGTACAAGAAGACAAAGCTGAAGAGGAAAAGAAAAAGAGAGAAAGAATTGAACAGATGCGAAAAGCTGCTCAAATGAGAAGGGAAGCGGTAAGTGGCCTTGCTTTATGCAAATTTCCACTTTGGTTGGAAGGCAACAAGTTGTGTATCTTACAAATATAATCTATTATATTGTGCATCTGATTAGTGAATCATGTTTTTCAGCCTTAGTTAGCTTTTGCCTATAAATAGGTGCCAAAATTTTACTAAAATTTGTTATCTGCTAATGTTTCAGACTGCCAACAGAATTGACATGAATGCACAGAATGACCTTATGGCATCATTTGAAGCCTCCTATCAGAACAGAGTGTGACAGACTAGTGCTTTATCGACAGCCGCTATCTTAGCTGGACCTGATTTATTCAACTGGCTATACCAAAACATGAAAGCTCTTCTTCATTGTTACATTGTGAAGATTAATACACATTACCATTTCCATAAGGACATTGTTTTCTTATATGTAACATATCAAGTAACGTGACAGAGATCACTGACCTGTTGTAATCAAAATGGGAGTTTTTTGTTGTTTTTTTAAACTTCAGTTTTCACTTACATAGCATTGCAAATAATTTATTGTAGAATCCCAAAGTAATCTAATAAAATAAAAAAAATTGGTGATATTTTTTAAAAGCTTTCTTTTGAACTTTTTAATATTATTTTAATTTTTTTCTTAAATGGTGAATAAAGTGAATTTTTCATCCGTTTTAGGGTGGTTCTATAATCATGTAGCCATTGAATATGAGGTTTCAGACAAGCCCGTGGTAACTCCAATGCAAAAGTTAATAAGACTTTTTTTTAACATGTATTGATCTAGTTTGCTTTTTAAAAACAAAACATTAACTGGAGTTACAATGTAAATATGTCTTACCATTTCTCATTTTTCTGTACCACCCAGATGTTAAACTACAGACAACCTCTATTTATTATTTCAAACATCTAAAATTCACAGTGAAATGTGCTGGGGTTGTTTGAAACTTATTGTAAAATATGTGCTCAGGTGTCATAATAACTATTATGAATTGATAATTTATTGTTTTGCAGCCTTCACTGACATCTGTATATTTTAATAAAGTAACTTCTATTATCTCTCCATCAAAAATATTTGCTCTATAACAAAATCTGTATAGTTTCATCTTATAAGTTCCATACATAAATCAACTTTTATGCATTTCTCTCCTTTTTTTTAAAATGCTTAAAACCTTTTTTCCCCTTCTCACTGTAGTAACTTTGCATTTCAAAATAAGGGGTTCAACAATATGAAATAAAAATGTTCATTGTAAGCAGAAGTAGTCAAGTGTGGACATTACATTGGACCATAAAATAATGTAATTAACAAATGTCTGCTACTTGACCAAACATTTCATTTTGTTTAATTGTTGTTGCTTTGTACTGTGCATTGCATTTGTTTATATCTGTGGTTTACATTGATCAAAAGTAAAAATGAATTACTTTTGTGTTTTCTCAGTCCTGGTATTCTGGTTATGACAACAGTTTTACATTATTTGGCTTGTGATTGATGCCAGGTTGTGTTAACGTCCTCAAAATAATGTTCATCCCAGCACTTGTATTTAAATATATGACCTGACCACATTTGTTTCTTCCAAGGCTGAGCTTTTGTGTACATAATGACTTGTTCTTAATTTTTTTGGCTCTTAAGCTTCTCTTGTGCCCAGCAGGGATAGCTCTATACAGCTTAGCCTTATTGTTTTTGCCCCTCTTTTTAAATCTTGAAAGGTCAGTGACAAAAAAGAAAATACTGTATCTAGGTAATGACATCTCTTCTTGCTTCAAAATTATAATGTTTACCAGGACACTTGAAAATGTCTTTGGTCTCAGCCAAGTAAATGTTGCAGTTATTTCAGTTTTTCATGTTATAGTTTAAGTCAAGGAAGTTAAACAACTTTCATTTAGAAACAGTAGGTAATCAGTTCCCATTTAATCACAGACAATCAAATTTAAAACATTTGGAGAGAATATTAATGAAGCCTTATGGATGCTATATCTTTATACTTGTATTACTCAATGTTAAAGTGTATTTTGAAGTAATATCTGCTATGAATAGATATCAAATGTTCTGTGTTGTGCCAAGTGACTTTGTTTTTTCCCCTCACTGCTTTTCATATTTCTAAGAAAATTTGTGTAAGGTATTCTAGAACTGCAATTCCCTTACTCCTTTTTTTTTTTTTTTTTTCTTTTTTTTTTTTTTTTTTTTTTTTTTTTTTTTTCTTTTTTTTTTTTAAAAATTTTTTTTTTTTTTTTATTTTTTTAATATTATTTTTTTTAGTTTTTTTATATCTGTAATTTCTTTTTTTTTTTTTTTTTTTTTTTTACTTTTTTTTTCTCTTCTCTTTAGTTTTCTTTCTCATCGTCTTTTTTAAAAACTTTGTATATTCATACTGATGCATTGGATTACATTGTATCACCTTCAACATGTAAATTATTGAACTAATTGTACAGTCAGTGTTTGCTGTACCGGTATCTTGACAGTTTTCACAAATGCCACACTTAACTGTTGTACTGTCAAACTCAACTATGGAATCCCCGAACATAAATTTAAATTATTTTTAAAAAAGTTGTATGATAATGATAAGATTGTGGTTTAATTGCCAGATTGAACTAACCCAGGTACATCCTTTTGTCTTTGGATAATATTGAATACTTTATTTAAAAAAAACAAAAAAAACTAAAACTTCTAGAAGCTGTCAGTTCCATTCTGATGCCTAAAATCTGCTTGTCAACACAACTGTTCACAACATTTTTGACAGGATTGTATTTGCATATTTTTTTGTCAGCCATGTACTTTATTGTTATCTTACACTTGTGTTTTGGGTCACCTAGTGATTTTCAAATACCTTGTCAAACCAGAAGCATGGACACATCAAGTGGGAGAGTTAACACTTCAAACTGAAATGTTTGCATTAAAAAAACATATTTTTGTTTAAATATATATATATATTATTTTTTTTAAATTTAAATCTGCTGTGATTACAACTGTTTAGTCTACTTAGCATAGGTTTGTTAAAGACATCACTATTTATTTGACTATTTCAAACTATCAAACTAGTTGCAAGTTGATGATGATAGCTATTTAATGCACTGTTGACGACTTGTTTGTGTCCTGCTGTCCAGCACATCTCTGTACATGTTTCTGCTGCTGGTGGTCACAAGCCTAGGTCCCTTTGTACAGTCTCATTTATATTATGTAGTTCTCATGCTAACACAAATCATTGTTTTCATAATTTTGTACAACTGCAACCTAGAGATGGCATGTTGATGTTAGTGTACATTTGGTGAATGTTATCCAGTGAAACTGCTGCGCAGTGTGGATGCTTGCAATGATCTGTGTGTAAATTTGGCGTAGTGTGGATCATGTGGATCAGCGACTGATGTGTGGAACACATGGTGGGTCAGGTGGTGTATGTATGTACGTATGTAACATTTTGAAGTGCATGCATCAGATACTGATGGTAGTTTATTTTTGTTACTTTTCTGTGTACAGCTCAATAAATATTGGGATTCAACCCACAACAGTGACATTTGCTGCTTTTATCCCTACCTTCTCTATTGTTATGTTGTAGATCCATTGTACCTTGTTGGTGTCATGTAGAAAAGTGTGTCATGTGGAGTGATAATGCATTAGCTTCTTTAAAATATTAATTGGCATTTGTAATTTTGGAGAAGAAAAAATTATTTGTCCTTTACCCACCCCCAAGAAAAAAGGTTAGCAAGTAGACGTCTCTCCTCTCCTCTCCTCCTCCCCGTTTTTATTTATTACCCTTTATTTTAAACAAAAAAATAGTCCAGGGGTTATTAACTTTTTGCTTCCATGGATCTCTTTGCCAATTAGATGAAGGCAATGACACCTTCTTAGAATGAATTTGGTAAATACATGTAATAAAAATTATGGCCGATGCCAAATAACTGTGTTGCGAAGACTTCAAAAGTTTGAAATGCTGTGACTGTGACCCACTCTTTTGGTGCTTTTTCTTAGCAGACAAAATGCACCAGAAGATACAACTCGGACCTTACTTCAAAAGTGTCAATAGTCTTATAGTTTATTAGTATATAGCTGCAATCGGGTGGGGCAGCGTCATCCAAGGAACAGCTGGTCTGCTGGTGGTGCTGCGTTCGTAGCACCTGCGGTCGAACTCTCTTGGAGCTGGAAAACATCCCTTCCCATCACGGTGTGGCGTCAGATGCCCTCTAATAACTAATAGTTACTTGTAATAGTGGTTTCTACTTTGTGATGATCATTACGTCACAATTGTAGCTGGGACGAAAAGGTTGCTTAGCACAGGCTGTATGATAGTTATTGATAGAATCATCAGCATGGGTTGCCACACCCACCCGTTGGCTCGTACCCATTTAGATCAAGGTGTCACCATATCCTGAATGTGTCGGGGTAATTTTCAACTGCACTGGTTAGGTACCAATGCAGCTGTGCCCTTTCTAACGCAGATTCACTTGTAAGACCCTTGTCTCTCACGCAAAGGTCCCCTACATGGTGATATTGTGTCCCTGGTAGCGTGAGGTCGGTGGCAGCGCATCTTAATCGACATACCATAATGGGACGGAAATGCCGATTAAGAGTCGGGGGGGGGGGGGGGGAAACTCCCCTTCTAATAAAGTTACGTGATGAAACATGCATTTGGTTAATTCAAGAGACGCACTTATTGACTTATTAAGAATTCCGTTTAGTCGGTTAGTGCCAGAGGCGTAGCGAGGGGGTGGCAGTGGGGGACAGATGTCCCCGGGCGCCAGCTAGTTAGGGGCGCCAAAATGTGCTTTGATATTATTTTATTGATTAAAATAATGGGCTTGTGAGTTGAAAAAAGGAAAAAGGGGCGCTTTAAAATGGATCTTGTCCCCGGGCGCCAAACACTCTCGCTACGCCTCTGGTTAGTGCTAACCCCCTCCCCCAGGTACGCCACTGCAAACTGTATTTCACGCCTATGAACTATATTAATATTCTCATGTCTCACCCACTATTACAATAATAACATCATTTAAATTGATTCTAAATTGAAGAAAAATTACCCATCAAACGCATTTGCGGTATTTTTAAGACTATACAGACTATATACTTTAACGGGAGTATTATTTTGCATGCCATTGAACTTGCCATTACGCTACACATTCTTTCACACTTGATAATTATATTTATTGATAAAACGATAATTCAGAAAGTTTGTCAGTGCAGGGCCACATGCAGCCCACTGAAACTCTTACTCCGGCCCGCAAGACCTTGCGAACTGGATTATTATTTCACCATCCTTTTATTGAATTTCATGATGGGCCTGTTAGTTATCTCAATCTCAACTAACACTAAATGTATTAAAATATATTCCATTTATAATTATTGTCTAGACTTCGAGATCCACGGAAAATGTCCCCGCCAGGTTTATTATAATTTATATGGAGAACGGGTGTTCATAGCGTGCATTCCAATTAGACCCAGTTACAGCATGGGGATTTTCACGCAGTGTCGCATTAAAAAAAAATGCAGCGCCAAGTGTGAAGCGTTGCTCACACCCCCCAGGGCCGTGTCGAGGAAAAGTTGCGCCCGGGGCAAAGTCTGAAAATGTCCCGACTTAACATAAAGAAAAAAAGTTCCACGCGGGACTGACCAGTAAAGATACGTCTTTAGCGCCCTTTGACTTGGTGAAGTACATCGGATTTTATCGTTAAATTAACTAGTAAGGTCATATCTATGAACGATTTTGACGATCCCTTATGTTGGCGCCCGTTTCGAGTGACCCCTTTACCCCCCCCCCTGCTCACCCCTCCGACAAGGATAAATAGCATTTTTATCGTTAAATTAACTAGTAAGGTCATATCTATGAACGATTTTGACGATCCCTTATGTTGGCGCCCGTTTCGAGTGACCCCTTTACCCCCCCCCCCCTGCTCACCCCTACGAAAAGGATAAATAGCAAATCATAGCAAATGGTAGCCATGCATACACTTATTGTTTAATCCGCGTTATTTTTTCATGAATCTTTTTTTTATTGTTTTGAGTTTGTATGCGTAATTACTTTCAATAAAAACTATGTAACATAATTTTTGTAAATTTGCACTCACTTGCATCGTACGTGTCAAAAGACGTTTTTTATACAAAGTGAGTAAAATTGTCCAGGCTTTTCAAACCTAAACTGGTCAATGAGTAAACTTAGGCTTAGCGTAACACCATTTTTAAGGTTGAAACTTGAGATGGGAATCGAGCCATCGTTTAAATATAAGAATAGTTATGAAGCCTTGCGGCCAAGGCCAGGTTATACTGGAAGCCTCAGAGCTGAGGGCCTCCTTTCAAAGAAAAAATGGAGGTGGATAGGGCACACTCTTTTACAGAGGCGTAGCGTGGTGGGGGCAGGGGGGACAGATGTCCCCGGGCGCCAGCTAGTTAGGGGCGCCAAATTGTGCTTTGATATTATTTTATTGATGAAAATAATGGGTTTGAGAGTTGACAAAAAGAAAAAGGGGGCTTTAAAATGGATCTTGTCCCCGGGCGCGAATCTTGTCCCCAGGCCCCAAACACCCTCGCTACGCCACTGCTCTTTTAGCAAACCACCAGATAAAATCACCAGTCAATTCCTAACATGGATTCCACAGGGGAAAATTAAGAGAAGAATATGCAATGACGCCATCTGGAGGCAAACACAAGTATGTGATACACCGGGAAGCAACTGGAATGAAAGCACGGGACCGAGATGAATCGAAAATTCTTGTAGACGGCCTATGCACTTTCGATTTAAAAGGCATACGTAAATGAAAAAAAAGGTGTAATTCAAGCTTTCCAACTTGACTGTCTTTGCTTTAGAGTTTGAGCAAGGTTACATGAAATATGGAATTTAATACAAACCAGGGTACACATTAATATATAATATATATTATATCAAACAAAGATTAAAACTGGGACAAAATACAAAGCCGACCAGGACTAGGATGAGAAACCGGGACATATGGTACTAAATCAAAATGTGTACATTCATTCATGATTTCAGTCATCGTGCAAATGAGCATAAAAAAGTTCAACACTCCTAACGAACGTGACTCATAAAAATTTCCCCACACATACCTCTATCCAATCCAAATATCTGCCGGCGTTAAACATTCGAAAACGAGTCGAATGCGGAAGTCCATAGCAAGATGGCGGCCTTTCACTACAACTTTGCAATAATTTGCCGTGTACCTAATGCATTAAAAAACAGAAGTGTAGGATCAGATAATTATCCCGAGGGCATCGATATAGAAAAGGCAAAGCAAGAATATGAAACAATTAGAGAGGTTTTAAAAAACTGTGACATCAACATTATTGAATTGGTCGAAGATGAAAGCTACCCTGATTGCTGTTTTGTGGACGATACTGCAGTTGTAATTGGGAATACAGCTCTAATAGCACGACCAGGGCATAGTTCTCGACAGGGAGAGGTTGGTAACATTTAAATATATTCCTGTATCAAATAAATACTCATTGATGATTCCTGCAGTAAGCATGAATAAGTTATTGAAGAATTTAATTAGGTACTTTGACACAAAATTTAAATATTGTCCGATCGACATGAATGATACATCATTTTAAAGTAGATACTTTGGTAAAAAATGTAAACATTTTTTTAAAAATAAACCAATGGCACAGTTGAATAGTGCTAATTTTAAACAGAATTATAACACCAAAATCATATTTTTAGCTGTTGTAGTTTTAAAGTTATGAATTTTTAAAGTACGACTTGGTTTGTCCTTTTTTAACATGGACTGCATCTCCACATTCTGTGACCTCATTCCGCCGATCGCGTCATGCGCAATGACTATATAGTTTATATAAGGCTAAGGCATTCCCTTATCACTAAAATACTGTTTAGGGTCGATTTATTTTAAACTTTCAACTTTGGCACATGAATAATTAATTAAAGCTTTCCCTGACCAATGGTTTAATAGTTTTTGCACACGGCAAACACTTATGAATGAAACTCTGAGATAGTACTACGATATAGCCGTTATGCAAGTGGCTGTGAATGGTTGCCAATGACAACGTGTTGCACACGGAAATTTCTGATCATTTATAATATGGACTCTACAGAGTTTTTAAAGCTCAAATTAAAACATTCCAGTTTAAATGTCTTCAAAATGCATTCTGAAACACAAGTTATCAAATATTTTGATGTATATAGTGGTAATAATTAAATATTTCTTAAGTATCGGCAACTTCCGCCATTAAAAAGGGGGCGTGGCCCACGCAATGTCGAAATAAGGCTGAGCCCCCTTATGGTGATATGGGTCACTGGGAGAAGCGTAGCGAACGTGGGACACGACCTACATCAATGAGAATTGGCACAGATATATATCAATATCTGATGCCTTACACGATTTAATATGAAAGACCTGTATTTTATATTTCACAAAAAATTTTGCATGCGAAGATGCCTTATATATACCAAAGATTTCCAAAATAAAGGTCGATTGAAAAAGCAAAATAGTTTGATGGAAATGTAGGCCAAGATGTCTTCCAAATTATAAGGCCGGAAACGGAACTCAAATATATGTCCAAAGAACTAATTTAATAATAAATAGACACACACATCGGAAAATTAAAAACTCGGATTTTTCGGTGCCGATGCCCATTTCCGATACAAAAAAAGTAGTAGTCTCCCTTGTTTATCGAAGTATCTATTTAAAGGGCTAGCTATAAGCTTTACAACAACACCAATTTCATCTTTCTATCTTTTATAGAAGTGGAGTTATGATTTTTTTGGTGATTTTTTAAAACCCCCTTCTTTATCTCAGTATTTAACTGAAAAAACGTGTGACCCACTTTCCAAATTTCTGCCTTATTTTGCCCAAAACTTTTGGATTTTAAAAGATAATGCTACCAAATTTTCAGGAGACATTCCCAATGCAATATACAACCCAATAAACAACAAAACTTTTATATAACATCAAGACTTTTATTTTTTGATATATTTATTTGTGGGTATGTTCAGAAAATAGTGAACAGAAAAATTGCGAAAATCATTATTTATACAGGAAAAAACGAAAAAAATATCATCTTTATTGAATTTTAAATAATTGTATTATACTTGTTTTACATTTTAAATCAATTATTATATTTATAAAAAGGTAAGTATTCTTTTTTTATATATAAAATTGAATGCATGTAATTATAAATAAAAATTACTCTAATAAAATCATCTATGATGATGAGACTAATTTATTAAAAAATGTTATTTGATATATTAAATAATTGTCTATATGTACTGCTTTTCAATGTTCTACTAAAAATATAATTACAACAATGATGTTGTTTGATTCTTGTTTATTAATTTGATGTATTTTAATAAAACTGTTATATATAGGCTTAACTTAAAATATATTATTAGTAAGTGTGGTTGTTGATTGTTGTAGTACTAGTACTAGTAATAGAATTAGATTAAGAAAAATTAAGCTTAGGCCTAAATATAGACTATTATAGGATTATAATAACAGTTGTTTATAATTATAACTGATATTGATATGTAGGCCTAATTTTAGTAATATTGTCTGAAATAATGAATAAGAGAAAAGCGATTATTATTATTGACATTACTATTGTAAAACTATTAAATATTGATTCAATAATTATGAAGAACGATAAACTGTGTACCGGTACCGTACACAATTTTTAACGTAATAAATAAAACTTAAAACCAACCATTGGTTACTACATAATTAAACTTTTATGTTATTTGGTTATAATCTTTTCTTAAAATTATTCATTTTAAACGTCTTATCATTATTTAGACGTTTAAGGATTTAACATAACGAATCACAGTGATAGCAGCCATTTCCGGCTTCTTGATCAAAAAAAAAAAAAAAAGACAATTTCATACCCCCACTCCTTCGTGGGATGCATAACTTTTTATAGACAGATCAACGATAATAACTCTAAAAATGAAAAAACTCTTACAATGAATGTAGATTGGGTGGAACTAAACCTTATTTTGGTGGCTTTACTAGTAAAAAAGTATTTATGCGATTTATAAACTAACCGAGTCATTATAATAATACTGTCCGTGATACACAAAAAATCTTGTAGCATAAATCAATATATCACCGGAACACAAAAACTGATACGTCACTGATGAGGAAAGCATTATTTAATAAACAAAGGTGACGTAGTATTCAATTTTCCAAAGATACCGTGTAGCCGTACGCCATATTGTAGAACACGTTTTTTCGACATTTTAGGACATGCGCAGAACGGTGCGTGGACAAGTATTGTTATGCCTAATTTAATAGACATTTAGTTTAGCCTACAAAATTCAAACAATGAGTTACAATGTGACTGTGACAATCTCAGTAAATTGGGCTAAGTTTAGTGGGTAAATTTTGGGTTAACAGTATGGTTTAGCTGAATTACCCTAAGCGCATTCATGTCCTTTTGGAGAATCCCAACTCTTAGAGTGACCAAAGACCAATTGTTGGACCTGACCTGAATGATGTGTCGTGTGTGATAACTTTCCTCTGTTCTTTACTGAGCATTATTCGCATCATAAACTAAATCGACGATCGATATGGTTAATACAAAATATACTAAAATTAAATTTTCCATTAATTTTTATTAAAATTCAACGTACAAGTTTCGGCTAATGTTAAGAGATAGCACCCTGGTTCCGATAGTGTAAAACCCTGGTTCCGATAGGGTCAAACCCAGTTTAGGGATAAGTTTAGGGTTCAGGTTAGGTTTTGGGATAGGTTTAGGGTTCAGGTTAGGTTTAGGGATACATTTAGGACATAAGTTCGCTGGTCACGGCAACCAAGGTAAAAAAACGCGATGCTATCTCTTCACATTTACCCAAGTTTCAAAAGAAAAGAAAGAGAAACACATCCACGCTGATACCCCAAAACCAAACACCGGTTAAAAAAAAAAAGATGCATGCTAAAAGTGCTGTCTTTGAATTATTTGAAAATCGAAGTACCTGTGCCATATCTTTCCGTATGCTAAAACTTCAGTAACAAAAAGGAAGACTACTAATTGAATTGTAAAATATTTGGGCTTGATAACTCGTGTTTCAGAATGAATTTAGAGGGCATTTCAACAGGGATATTTTAATTTGAGGTTTAAAACGTGGTAGGTTCCATATTAAATATTATCATAATTTTCAGAGTTACATTCATAAGAAGTTGCTGTGGGCAAACACTATTAAACCATTGGTCGTGAATGGTCAGGGAAAGATAAAATTAATAAATTAGTCGTGTGCAAAAGTTGGAAGTACAAAATATAATTTTCCTCCCACTTAAAAAGCCACTTTCAATACCAACATAATAAACAAAATTATCTTCTGGGGAGGGGAGACCCCTCCCCCCACTTTAAATGCCAAAATAAGAAGTAATCTTCTGGGAAGGGTAAACCCCTCCTCCTACTTTCAAAAATAGAAATAAGAAAACAAAAACTTGCATTAAGTATTAAGTGGACACAATATAAAAATCGAAATCTTTTGAATCCCGGTATGACACTACAGACGGAAGTTGACCTGGGGGGAACCTCCGTGACCTATATACCATGGAACACATAGCTGGCCTTATCGCTAATCCAAAATCAGCCGTAAAAGTCAGTTACAGTAGTATCAGAAATTAGTATAGAATAGAAACATATTCCTTTTGCTGTTCTCTGAGTTACTATATTTTTACAATTGTTTATTTTTATATTTGCTACCTTTGTGTTTGTACTGTTTGCTGATGAATAAAGGCTTCTTGCTGACACATTAGTTGTTTTGTTACATCCTTTTTTTCTTCAGGTTTTCCCCTACCTTGTTCTACCTACATGTTTCCTTTAACTTTTACCTATCCAGGTCTCAGTCTTCCCCCCTCCCCGTTATTACCTTAACTTTAGGTTGCTATGTAAAGTAAACTAAATTCAGTACTGGTAACTGATTTTATGATTTTTGACTTGTTTGTTAAGCTTTAAAATGGCTTATTTCTATTACACAATTTTATTATCAATATAACATGATGTCTAGTGATTGTTATCCTTTCACGTAAAGGTTGGAGAAATACGCAAAGTACTGAAAGGAGATCTTCGTATGAATGTTGTTGAAATTCAGAATGCAAAAGCAACACTTGATGGTGGCGATGTTCTTTTTACAGGTAACAAACAATAGTTGTTAAAAAGTATATAGGCAACATGTAGATGTTAAGGTACTGACTTTTTATTCAGTGTTTATTGTTAGTATATTATAAAAGATTTGTTGAATATCTACTAATCTACTACTCTATTTGAATTAGTAAGTTATCTGTTGTTAATCCATGAACTGTTATTATGGCTGACGCTCAGCCAGCGTGGCTGATTTTCTGGTGTTAACATTATGGCTGATATAAAATGAACATTATAAATTCAAATCAGCAAATTAGATTTACTTCCTAGTACAGGTAATAGAAAACTAAAACTAAGCTAAATATTTCATGTGTTCATATTTTAAAAAAATGTTTGAATCAAAGTGAAATTTTCAGAGTAAAAAAAAAGAGAAAAAAAAAGAACCAACTTTTGGGACTCACATGTTGCCCCTAAAGCTAAAGCCTAATTTATTTGAATTATTTCTCTGTGAAAGTGATTTTGAAGATAGTTTTGTTGAAATACTCATTGTAGGGTTAATTGTGGTAGTGGGGCTGGCAATAGTGGAGAAGCAGTTCAAGTTCTAATAGTGGAAGAACTGGAAAATAGGGTACTAATGAACTTAAAAGGCATTATCAGATTTGTCTACTCTTATTTACCATTTTGAAACGTTTACGATTTTATGCCAAGAACTGTCAGAACTATGATTTTAAGAGACTGGATTGAAAATATATACATTCTGGTAGGTAGTTTTTCGGATTAAATTTTTAAATAAAAAAAAGTACCTTTTTGGTTGTTTGTTTTAGCTCTTTTCTACATTCAGCAGTAAATGGATAGAAAAATACAATTGGTTGGGGACTTCTTTATAAATATATTATGTTTGCCCTGAGAGGGGAAGGGGTGGTGTTGATTTAGATGTAGTGTAAAGTTGTGTGGCAGTGGTGTTTCTAATATTTAAGTCTATAAAAATAACAATGCCACATTTTTGTAATGATGGTGATGATGGTCATATTGTTGCTTCGTGCTTTCATAATGAACTCGCTACACAGCAACAATAATATAAGGGTAGTAAACCTAGTGACAATTTTTGTCAATCCTCGCTTATGTTTGCTTCTGTGCTATATGATTTCGACATAAAGGATCTGAGAGGGCCATTGAAATCTATTTTTAGAACACACAAAACACTCAAGATTTTTAATACCTCTAATAGGTTCCAACACTCCTATTTCTTTATATGTTTATTTATTTACCATTAACATACTGTATTGTATGATTTTTGAGCCAATGTACGATTTTAGGAGTTCGGGGGTAAGTAGGACTTCATTATATAAAGAAATATGTATGTCAGTGTGCATAAGGAACATTAGGACTGTTTATTACTGTATGTATTAATCCACTGTAAATTTTGTCCAAAAAGCAATATCAAATGATTAAAAATGAGAATGTGTAGTGACAGTGTAATATATTGTAACTTTTGATCCTAAAACCAAAGGCAAAGAGATATTTGTTGGAGTTGGGAAACGAACAAATGAGTTTGGTGCTCAAGCAGTTGCAGAGGCTTTCCCAGAATATGCTGTATCAAAGGTGAATTTCGCCAACTGTGAGGCCTTGCACCTGAAGGATGTCTTTAACATGGCAGGTCGAAATGTCATGGCTGTTGCCCCAGGACCTGACGTACAAGTTGTTTTGAGGGTAAGTAGTTCATTTGAGCAGTTTTCTTCCCCGATTGACTAAAATTCAATAAAAGGTATTAATTTGTCCTTAAAGTGCAGTAGAATGCTGATTATCCGAATTGTGGGTGATTCAGATGAACGTAGAAGAAAACTGAATTTGAGAATTTTTTCTTAAATATAAAAATTAATTAGGCAGGAATGAGCTTATTCGTATAGAACTAGAAGTCGTTAACTAAATGACATATTGGTTTAACTTTCGAACTGAATCCACAGCAAATGCAAGATGTTGCTGACTATCCATACAGTGTTATGCAGATGGACTCTCGTTTGGCCACAGACATGCTCTATGTCAATGGCCATCTTATCCATCATGTGCGACAGGAGATGGGAGACAAAAGCTATGGGGTAATCAGAATCTCGTTAAAAAAAAATTATTTGTAACGCCTTTTAATCGAAGAATATTTTTAAAAAAAATCTATTGACTACCAGTGTGTAGTAACAAGGTTATGGTGCATAAAAAAAATTCCTTTGAGAAATTTTAAACTAAAAAAAAAAAAGACGACTTGTGACCTTGTATTTTTTAATAAAATTTCTGCTTGTAATAATATATTAACTTTTCCCCAAGTGCAAATGCACAGTAATTAGTGCAATGTTATTATTATTATATATTTAAAGATATACATATTTATGAGACCTACGGCTCATGACATTCATAAAATTTGAATTATTTCACAAAATATTTTTACATTTCTTCACTGTGTAGAAAATTAGTTTTAAATGTAAATTGGAACTTTAGCAGAAATAAAAATCTTCTGAGTGTTCAAGGCTGAGCAAGCTATTTGATCCAACTTTTCTTTTATTGAGCTATTTATTCAAGTACCCTGTAAATGAAATATTTTTGTTTGAAATACACAATTTTCATGTCATTTGCTACAAATTTAAAAACAATTTTGTTAAAATCTCATAATTTATCTTTTTAAACACTTATGCATGATAGAGACTATGATAAGGTAAAAAAATAAAAAAAAGGGATCTCTGTACGGTATTTGATTGTATGATTCAAAATTTAATTTTTTACGACCTTTTTTTCATTTTGCATTCTGTGATTTATTGTACATTTTAGCACAAGTTATAACTGTTAGCATCATGCTATAGCTAACATATTACTCTCCGTATATATATATATACATATATAATATATTACATCAATAATACATATATATATTAATACATGACAAAACAATATTAGGCATGCTCTTGATACAAATTCTTGATGAGCACTTTAAAAAATAACAGGATTATGTATACATTTATCAACTATACATTTGCCGGCATTCATTCGTTTTTGAGAGTTGATGGTGTAGCTTCACATTTTCACCCTTGGGTGAGTGATTTTTCCGTAGGATCCTACTATAAACAGATATTTATTTATTTAGGCATTTTTTATATAGCGCTTACCTTAAAGCTCTAAGCGCTTTACAATTATTAAAAACATGTAAACTAAGTAAAATAAAAAAATGAGACACTAGGATAGTAACTACTATACTATAGAAACAATTAAAATGGCTATAAAACGAGGACACTTTGGCACATTTTGGCCTATAATACAAGATCAACCCGAGACAGAAAATGAGATATATATTTATTATACTGCCTATTTTTATTATTGCAATAGTCCACAAATATATGTTCCTTTATGGATATACCTGCATGAAACAATTAGAGATATGGTGTACCTGCAATTAAAAGAAAAAAAAACGGTACCAGACGCTGCAATTTTAATAATGCACAGTGCAAATAGCATGTGACACTAGAATTCACTTATGTAACAAATGATCCAATGTTAAGGCCTTGGAATGTACAGAGGTCTTCACCTGATGTCTATTCAAGTGAGAATTTCAAGCATGTGTCTACTTCATAAAATAGCATGTTTGAAACAATATACCTCGATGGTAAGTCTGCAAATGTAGAACTTGTGCATGTCACACCAGAAAGGATCTGCAACTGCAAGCTGCTAACAAATCATAATCCAAAAAAAAAAATTTCTGGGTTCTCAAAAGGAATAAATGACATGAATTTTTAGATGCTGGACCAACTTGTTGATCCTGATATTGGGCGTGTTGAGCTGAACATGAAAGAATTGACATTTGAAGGACGAGGAATTGCAGGGCTACCATTGATGTGTCTGAAGCTGAAGACTTATACAAATTTAATCTACAGTTAAAGCTGTAAGAGTCCTATTGAGGTATGCACTCTTGATGTCTGATTGCCACGGTCAATTTGCCTAATCATTGAAACCATTTGACTGTGCAGGGAAGTTTTTCCATGACGAAATGGATTTGATGTGAAGAAGCTGTGATTGGCTGGTAACATTGCTCTAATACAAGCACAATCCTTACTTAATATTTTTTTATTTCCCCATTATTACATTAAAAATATTATAAAGAGCGCAGTGTTGTAAGACTATTGTAATATTAATTCATATTAGCAGGGCTGCTATACGTTATAACAGAATTTGTTCTAGAACAAAGAAAGGTGGATTAACTCTTAACTGAAAATTATTTGCAAAGGTGATTCTGATTTGTAAAACTATGCTTGATGAAAGGCATACTTTTTGTCATCAATGGTAGTGATTTGTCTGTGTGATATTGATCAAAGCTCTTGATTTCATCAGGTGTTAGATGAAAAGATCCTCACACCCAGGCACCACGTTCAGATGACAGAACTTTCCAAAGTTGGAGGTACCATAGGCAGCTTGGCTATCTTGATTACTCGAACTCGCAACCCCAAGCGCTTCATTAGCAACATTCAAGATGAGGACTTGGGATATTTCACCATGTGGAAACGTTCTGATCCCCACAATTAAAGAGGCATCTCAGAAAGGCAATTTTCACTTTTTATTGCAATGTAGTATTAGACATAAAAGTCAGTCATGTGAGGCATTTAGGTTGTTAGCATTCCTAGATTTAATTTAAAATGATTTAAACTGGTTTTACAGTGACTACCAGATTATACAAGAAAGCTATCTTTCCTTAAAGTATCAATGTAAATAGGGATGATGTACCGAATTACTTAAGTGAATACATTCAATTTTACCATTTTAAATGTAAATTTTTTATATTTTACATACTTCAAGAGTGTCATTCATTCTTGTACACTTTCAAAGTTCACCTGAGAATATTGTTTATGTCCTGCTAGAGCTATTAGTGTAATATCTGTCATAATCATCACTACTATACATAAATTAAAAGCTTGAATTTATTATTTTTTGCATAAGTGTCATTTCCCATTCACTTTTTAACTCCCATTTTTTTGTAATGTCATTAATAATAAAGTTGAACGTTTTTAAAGCGTTGTCTTAAACTTCCATAGTCTAGTCTTGGCAGTAGTTGTCATCTTTCTGTGCTATATCACTAGCTGTAGCCTACTGGTATATCCCCAGTTTATGGTCACAAAATATAATTAAAATTACACTGGAAATAAATCATGATTCTTTGAAAGAATATGTTTGCTAACACTAATACAAAAACCTTAAAATGAATTTAAAGACCTTTTGTTGTTTGGAGACTGTGATTGTTGCAGGAAAAAACACACCATTTTACAAACTGATTATGTGGACCTTTAACACTGCATGTTTTAATTAAATAATGACTCTTAATTAAATAATGTGTTTGTTTTTATTATTAGTATTGTTTGCTTTAAAAATGAGTAGGCAAAAAAATTCTTATTTCTAAAATAGTTATAGAAAATAGCAATAGGAGATATTTGAAATAATAAATTTTCCTACTTTGCATATTTTTTCTTCATCACTAAATTTGCTTTCTCAGTAATTGTATACTTTTATTGGAGGATGTACGATCAATATGTGATCACTGATTAACTGCGCAGATAATGTTGTGACATCTCCACACTGTTTTAATTGATGTCTCTCGGCGCCAATCCTGTAGAATACTAACCTTTGTTTCGTGGGCTGTGCTTTGAATATTATCATTATTCACCAGTGCTTTGGTTTTTATCTCATTGGATTCCTTATCTTCATCTCTTTAGTTTACTTTATGATCCTAGTTATAATTTTAAAAAAGCATTTATTGATATCCTTAAGTTCTCCAACTAAACTATACTCCCTTTGCATTAATGACTACTTTAATGAAATGCACAAAATTATTTTGTTGCTGTGCAAACACATGCATTAATAGAATTTTAGATTGTGCTTGGTCTATGTTAAGTAAAATAACATTCCATTTTTTAAATTATTTTGTTGAAGCTTTTTACAAATATTTACATATCCAGAAAATACAGAAATTTAAGTGAGATTATCTGATGGTATTGAATTTAATTTCAAGTATATTGACTTTTATCTTTCATTGAAACTGGTGAATTTTTCTGAAATTAAGAACAAATTATGTTTTTTACTGCACTTCCCCATGTACTTTTTTCTTGTATATTTACCTGGTCTGTACCGGGTACTTACTAAAATTGTCTTGAACAAAAAAGCTAACACAGAGCATTTGTAACATCAGAATCTCATTAATTCACCACAACCAATCTGGCATTATGGTTAAAAACAGATATTTGTAACAATATTTGACCTGATTTGAATGGTAAGAGAGTTGCCCTTCTTAATATTCCAGTGTGGCAGAATTCCATTCCTGTAGACATCTGTCCCCATTTTTACTGTATTCTATTGCTTTCATATTTAATTATTTTAACTTGATTTTAAATCTTGGATACATAGTTTTTGTCACTGTCCATTCCCTTTTAAACCACTTATTAATGTTCACTCCGTCTGTCCTAATACATTTTCCCAAGAATCATTCCACCAATAAAAGCATCTCAAAGCATTTTGCAAAAAAAAAAAAAAATCCTGCTGTTTGTTTTCATCTTTAAATGTAAGTAAGTAAAAGTAAGTAAGTCAATAAATTGATTTATAAAATGCTTATATAAATTCTTCCCCCCCCCCCAGCATAAATATATAAATATAGATAGGCATGATTTTTTTCTCCATTAGAAACAAATGACAAAGGTATTTGCAGTACAACCCAGGCTGGAGACAACCCAGGCTGTTGTGTTTATTTTGATATATTGTGCTTCCAAAGTTGTTTGCTCACAAGATGCATTGTCACAAACGAATTTCACTCACATATTCAATTACACATTGTCTACAATAAATTTTTACGTTAAACTCTATAATTAAAATCTGTACGATACCCGAAAGCTTTTGAATGTATTTTTTAAAATGTAAATTTCTAGAATATCTCCGTTTTGCTAGCCGTGATGTATCTTAAAATGCAGTGCTGAGAATATTCAAGATGAGTTAAAAGGGTGTGTTAGAAATCAACACATTAAACATTCAGCATTTGGCAGACTGTCTTATTTCTATGCTGTGCATTTTCATTTTTATCTCAAAATAAATCATATTATTCTTATAATTAGTAGTACTTCCCTTTTCTCATCATTTGTTATTGCTGTATTAGGCCTGATTTGTTTTATATGTTTTTTTAATTAAACTTAGAAGAATTATACCAATTAATTTATGTTACCTGTACTCTAAACAGAAAAAGCAACTGTAATAAAAATAAAACAAAATAATTTATCAAGTCCCATTCTGAGATATATAATTACAGAATGCTGCAAATAACGCATTACAGTATCATTATTTATCATATCTGTGGCTGCATTCATGAACATATCCGTTAAAATTCTTTTTGTTGTTGTTTTTTTTTTGTTTTTTGAGTTAGCCTATTTAGGCAGGGCCTAATATGGCATATTATACAGACACTAATTTTGGGGATAGGCCAGAGTTGTAAAATAAAATATTCACTTAATGTTGTTTTTTTTTTCAAAAAACATTTCCCTTAGTTGTATAACTTGTTAGTTATTATTATGTACCAGGTACATGAATGGGGCTACAGATATATTAAATAATAAGTAAACAAATTTAACAGAAATTGTTCCGATCAAAACATGAAATAATTATATTACAAAACCCCACCCCAAAAATATACATAGTCCCCTTTGCAATGTTATTTATCAAATGTAAAGGCACATTGTCAATTTTTACAAAAATGTGATTCATTTTATGTATGTTGATGAACACAATTTAAGACAGTCCTGAGTTTCCCTTTGTAAGCAGAGATCTCAAATTTGTTGACTGTTCCACATGAGCTGGAAGTGCTGCACGCTTTTGGCCAACTGATACAAATTTGAATAAATAGAGATTTTTAAAGCTTAAAGAAAAAAAAATAAAGTGCTATTTGAATTTAAAATATTTTAATCAGTTTAAGTGTCACAGCTGAGTTCATTGAAATTAAATAAGTATTTGAAGTACAGTTTTGATAATTTTTTTTATATCAAGAAAAGAAACTGTTTATTTCCAATTAACATATTCATTTGTTGTTTCAATTGCCAGTTGAAACCAATAACTACTCACCAACCGATTGCATGTGACATTTAAATGCTTCATAGCTAATGGAGGGATCAGTTGTTCCAACGGCAACGTTCTCATTAGTTTCAGCTTTATTGATTTCAAATTTGACCCACTTATAGCGAGAGCACTTCCTGGCACCAGGACACGACTGTATGAGGTTCTGAATGACAGGGTGAGACAGGCCAAAGAAGGCTAGACCCTGACCTTCGGCTTGGACAATAGAAGCACCTCTGAAACGAAACATGGTATCAAAATATTAACTTAACATAAATACCAAGGGAAAAAAAGAATATTTAGATAATAAATAAACTATAAAGATTGACCACACATGATGTCATACAATAATTTATTTTTTTGATAAGAGTAAGTTTTGAATACATTTTGAACATTTTTGTTTATCCTACCTGGATTTGTTCACAGCCCAAAGTAGTTGACTGTGACAGTCTGTTGGTGAGGTTGATTTGAACACAATATCTGAGCTATCTTCTGCAGCTATTTCAAACTGCATAAAGGAAAAGCAATATTTAAATTTAAAATACGTTAGTTTAAAAAAAAAAAAAAAAGTAACCTTTTATAACCTGACGAGGTTAAAGATACCAATATATTTCTTACACAAGTAAGCCAAACTGACTTAGTCTGTTGGTGAGGTTGATTTGAACACAATATCTGAGCTATTTTCTGCAGCTATTTCAAACTGCATAAAGGAAAAGCAATATTTAAATTTAAAATACGTTAGTTTAAAAAAAAAAAAAAAAAGTAACCTTTTATAACCTGACGAGGTTAAAGATACCAATATATTTCTTACACAAGTAAGCCAAACTGACTTTAAATTTAGAGTGGTCACCATGCAAACCAGGAAGATATTCTCATTTGGCATTTAAAGTCTAAAAATTACATTAATTCTGAGTATGTATGTTTGGAGCAAATGACAAACACTAGTTTAAATGATATTTTCTATGTTACTAAAAATGTTTTATTTTTTGGGATGATGGGTAAATGATTCATTAAGAAGTTGAAAATCTTTAGTTCAAAGTTCTTCTTCTTCTATATCTTAAGGGCCCACGATCAATTTATTGATCATTTTGGCTCCTATGGAAATAATAATTTGCTGTCTTTTTTAAATTTCTTTAGGATAATAAATATTCTGATTTTTTGTGTTTTTAAAAAAAGTTTTACAAGAATTTAATTATAAACCCAGTATGAAAATGTAAGATTTATAGTAAGTTATACACGTAAAAGGTTAAAATCAGTTTTAACCATGCAACCGCCATAATAAACAGCAAAATGGCTACTTCGAGTTCTGAAAATTGAGAACATAAATAGTCTAGTATTCCAGAAGACCCAACACCTACCAATGGTCCATCATTATTGTCAGATATTTTGCATGTGTAAAGACATTTTGTATCCAACTTGTGTAAACTGGCAAACACACGGGTGATACAGAAACCTGCTGGGTATATAGACTCAACTGAGTGGAAGCTCAGACGATCAGGAACTATCTGGGAAATAAATACAAAGTGTGCCCTAACTCAAATGCAGCGAACAATTAATTTAATGTTTCACTAATATTTCCAAACTTTTTAAAAACCTGCTTAAGGAAAAAAATAAAATAAATGAACTCCTACCTCCCCAATGCTGTGAAGTGTGATGTCTCCTAACACCATAGGAAAAATTGGTCTCCCCAATGAGTCCAACATGAGTGGAGGAATAACTTTCTTGACAGCTCCTTTTCCCTTTTTAGGACGCACAGTTGGTGTGTCTGTGAAATATTGTTATTTCCCTTGGTCATAAATATATTTATTTTCAATATTTCACTGGAACTCCCAATCTTATATTTACAACAATTTTTTTTTTAAAATGAAAACTGAAATAATTTTCTCCACAAATATGTGTTTACAGAATTAAATCCTAAAAATCTTCTTCTAACTTAACAAGTTTGAAGCTGACATATTAAGCCAAAATATATCGATTAAAAAAAAAACTGTGGACTGTATTATTTAGTTTGTGTTAAGTATTCAGCACCCCGCCTTTTTAGAACTTGAAAAAAAATTTTTTTTTTACCAGAAGGATCTTTTGTAGACTGGGTGTGTTTCTTTTTGGCCTCACTCGGCCCACCAACTCCTTGCTGTGTTGCAGGCGTTCCCAAAGATGATGATAGAAGTGATGCAGCTGAAGCACCTGATGGCAGTGATGAGTTTGCTGCTTGCATTTTTCTCTTCATTGCTTTTGGTTTCCCGCTGTACTCAGAAGTAGCACCATCTGCCGACAAGTTTCCAAGTAATCCTGTGATAGAGTTTTTATTTAAATGATTTCAGTTTCCATTAATTTACATTTTGACAAAACGTAATATGGTGTCTGGAGGGGACATACAAATTCTCTCAACAATTAAATGAAAAAAAAAAAATGAATTTGTAATATGAAAATTAAAATGTTACAACAAAAAAAAACAACAAAAACTCTCCTATTATACTTTTATAGTCAAGTATTCCCAACCTATGGGGTGGTAACTCCAAGTTAAAAAAATAATCTTACTTTAATGCTTTGTGACTAGTACATAAAAGAAACAGTAACCAAAAATACCTTGACCTCTAATACTCTAAAAGCAGTCTTAAAAGTTACATTCATAAAATAATGGGCTGGGCTTGATGTTAGTGTACATTTGGCAAAAAGTACCACCTTTACTCCTTATATATATACCTTAAAAGTTTGGGTTGGCTGTTAAAAAGTGGCCTATTCTTTTTAAAGATTATGAATATCCAATGTAAATGAGTTTAAAACATACTAATGATAAAAGGCTTTGAAAATTTTTAAGGGCAGAACAAGAAAAACAAATAAAATACAGAAAAATAGAGCATATCACAAAACAGTAACTGTAATCATATTTATTATTATAATTATATTTAAGCGGTTAAGGTTCCTAAAAGTTACACAAGAAGACTATTGATAAAGCACTGTTGGTAATAAAACACTATTGATTCTGTTATTGAAAACCCCGATGCAGCTGATGATCTCTGATGAGATGAGACCACAAACATATGGTGATTGAGAAGATTACTAGTCACTGATGTTTTAGTAGCTTTAAAGCCAACTCACCCTTTGCTTGCCTTGAGTTTGGAGTCTGTGGTTCAGATTTAAGAGAACTAATATTGGGTTCGTTGACTGACTGATACTGAAGGAGCTTCCGCAAAAGAAACCTGGAATGAAATGTATCTGATGGCTCAGTATGCAATACATTTTAACGAGAAACCAAAAGGCTAAATAAATTGACCAAGATAATGTGTAAAAGTAACATATTTATAAATTTTTTTTTACCTCCTTTCTTCTTTTGCTTTAGCTAATTTTTCTTCAGTTCTCAAAACCTCATCACAAACAGCTCCATTTACCTATAAAGATACAATAAAATTTGTCTGTTACCTGTATGATTTTATACTGTAATTTTATCTAAACATTTTAAGTTGTTGAACAAATAAGAGCAGAGAATATTACTGAAACTTAAATAAAGTTATGTAGATCACCTTTTTTTTTAAAAAGTTCCTTTTCATTTTTAAAAATAGATTTTAAAAGCATTCATTTCATTGCAAAATGCTAGTTAATAGTTGCATAAGCAATTCCACTCCCCCCACAAGTAAAAAATACTTCTTTGATATTTGATCTCTCTGAGATGAATTTTATAAAGATTAAAAACATTTTGTTAGTAAGAAAGAATAGAGAACTCACAAATATAGCATCTTTAATTGCTCGCTTTAACTTGCGAAACTTTCTGGCGTATAAATCTTGAATATTAAAATGTGCTGTGCGAGCTCTTGGTGTGAATGTAGTTGATGGTCCTGGATTTGTTGGGGACGACACCCTGTATTTGAAAAAAATTAATTTAAATTAGATGACATATTATAAAGACTTTAAATGATCAATACCATAAATTTAAAATGTATTACATTATGCTGCATCATTTATCACAACCATCAATCACATTTAAAAAACTCTATTTCTCATACAACAAGGTGGCCCATATATTTTAACATTATTTTGAACTGAAAGACAAAAGTATGAACTAATTGTTAAAAATTGAAACCTATGTAATAGATAAAAAGCTGTATTCAAAATAACGTACCCCTGTGAGGTTGAATGGTTTTCATTCATTAATTGATCAAGAAGTTGTTGTGAGGGCTTGACATCTGCTCCAATGTGCGGCTTCTGAGGCGGCGGTGATGGTAATGGTGAATTACTTGATTGCTGACCCGGCATTGATAGTGTACTGATGGACTGAAAGGGTTACATGCATTAAACAATGAATGAAAATAAACATTAATTGAATACTTCTTATACATTCCAGACCGCCAATTATTTTTAAACATTCCACATTTACAACACAGAAAATGATTTTACATACTTTCCAAAAATTAGTACTTTATCTGAAAAGTTCTGATGGGGTAAACTTTGAAATGTATATTAAAAAAATGTGTGCAACCTGGCTGATGACACTAGTCAACAATTTTGAAAACTGATTTTAAATATGGCATTTCAGCTGTCCAAGGATAAACACCACTTCAATGTTGAAATATCCTCAGAATTTATCAGTGCTACTTCAATATTGAAAAATGGGCAGCACCTTTTGGCTGCTGATCTTTCAAGCCTGACATCTGTAATGTCAAAATTGCTCTTGATGTTTGGGTCTACATGGTTTATGTGATCAATGTGTTCTTTGATTATGTAACACAATATGTTCCCTTCTTGTTTTACTAGCTGGTTGCCTTAAGCATCTCATCACCCAGGTGAAGTTTTTTCTTGACAGCTCTTATTCAGAGCCCAGGTCTGGCAATGGTAAGTAACGGTTGAAATAAAGACAGTGTTAATTAGCTAGGCCTTGGTCTCGATCTTTATTCTTGGGTGTCTCAGTAGCTTGTCTAAATCACATTTTTGTCTCTCTCTCTCTATATTCTCAGTGAAAATGCTCCCCACATATTTTAAGTCCTGGCACTGTCAGAGCAGCTTTCCACTAATATCCTTGTTTAGTTTTTCTGACCTAGCCTATTGACATGACCTTAGCCTTATCTGTTGTGGATTGTATCCCAAAAAAGATTTCAAGGTAAAGTTCAGGCTATCAACATGGCTCTGCTGTGGTTCTTTATTTTCGTTTAGGAAGCATTCTTCGTAAACAAATAGCAATTCATTAATTGCCTCGAGATTCAGATTGGCAATCTTTGTGATTTTGTCCATGTAAATGACGAACAGCATCAATAAATATGCTCACTCCAAATAGTAGGTTTATGGTAAAAATAAGTAGATATATTAAATATTCAACGATAAGTTTAAGGTCTAATTATTTTTAATAAATAATTTATCTAATACAACTATATAAAAAACTTAGTATAAATATAGACTATAGCCTTTCACAACCATCTCACTATTGTTGGAAAGACTTTACCATCACCTAGACAGCCCTAAAAATTTGCTAGGGTGCTTTTCCTAGACTTCTCATCAGCATTTAACACTATCCAACCACACCTTATGATTAAAAAGAGTTCTTTGTTAGGTGTAAATTCAAATATTCAAGCCTGGATACTGAAATTTTTAACAAATGGCCCACAATATGTTAAGTTGAATGACCAAATATCATTAACTAGAGAAATAAGAACAGTTTTGCCACAAGTATGATTTCTCCCCCCTTCCTCTATTCAATATATACCAATGATATCCAGAGCCCAAGCAAATCATTCCCATCATTAAATTTTCTGATGAATCCACCATTGTTGGCTTAATATCTGAAGGGGACAACTTAGATACAAGCTTTATCAAAATGTCTCAAAAACAGAATAAATGGTTGTCGATTTCCAGAGGTGTACTCACCAATTGCATGTATCACAATAAAAAAATCCCAGTATAGAGCAAGAAGAGACATATAAGTACCTAGGTGTCACCATTAATAATAAGATAACATGGCAAGAATACTGTCAAATAATGTATATTAAAAAATTGTACGTAAACTAACAAGTTATTAACATATTGTACAGTGCAAGAGTTGAAAGCCAACTCAACTTCATTATTACCCGCTGGTGTGGGAATCATCATCTGACATTAAACACTGATTAAATAGAATAATCAAGATGGTTAGTAGTAATATCACACTAACTAAAATCCTTCACTTCAAGTTTTAAGAACTATTTGAAGAAAACTGCTGTTGTAAAACCAAATATATGTTAGATGAAACACCCTCTTCATCGCAGATACCTAATATCAGCTCGATCAAAGCGAATTCTTTCTCTTAAAGTTAGGACCGAAAGATATGAAAATTCTTTGATTCCCTGGCCCTTGGTCTGTAAGAATTTACCAGTGTGCTCCCCCAGCAGTTACCAAATCAAAATGATTACTAATTAAGTTAATATTGTCACTAAGGTAGTTCATTGATGGCTCATTTCTATGCTAAAGAAATACTTTTGATGTCTTGTGTTTAATTACAGTTAATTGTAAAATGTTGTCTTGGTTAAAATATGTATTTATTTATGTGCTGAAAATGAGTATAATTACAATGAATGTAATTTTAATCAGAAAACATTTCCATTTATTTGGATCAATAATAGTAATCATTCACTGCGTTTTATTAGTTTTTTTAATGTAGGACAAGTGTTTAAAGGATTGCCAAGAATCTCATCATATATATAATTTAGTTTATAATATAAAGGCCTAGGCCTAGATATAAAGATATATTATTTTTTATATTAAATATGATTATTATATGACTATATTTATATTAGTATAATATCAGACAATAATAATACTGTCAACTAGGGCTTAAACGAGTGAAGTTTAAATTTTACACCAGGTCCGGGTATTTTGAGAAAATGCCAGGTGGGTCCAAGTGTTACAAAGAAAGGGTTAACTTCTCATTTTCTATAGTCTATAGTAGTATGCAACAAAATCTCCTGCCTTATGACCCAGTGAGAGTGCATTACCTTTGTCAACTCTTTATATCAAGAAATAAACAACTAATAGGAACAGGCAGTTGCCGGATCCGGGAATAGAGATGATGTTTAACAAAAACCCGTCAACAGAGAAGATATTAATACTGTCGTTCATTTTATAACAAAGACCTAATTATGAAACAACCATTGCAATTTAACCAAAATAGCAAACAGGTGCACACCAACAATAACACCAACTAGCAGAATAATAGTCGCCTCGCCTCAACAATTTTTTACCTGAATTCTCAGGCCACACATGATACATGACAGCCTTTTTTTTTCATTTAGTTATAGTACTATTAATATAGAACACGTTGAGTTGGGGGAAGGCGGTTTCAAAAAAGAAGCAGAAAATACCAAAAGCAAAATATAAATTAAAAATTATAGCCGCTGGCTAGGCCTAGTTTAACTTATAATTATAACATAAGTTAAAGTTAACTTTAACTTTAATTTTAATGAAGTAGAAGGCTTAGCCATAAATAAAAGAAGTATAAGTATATTATTATACAGCTTTTAATACTAATAATAGCCTATGATATACATAACATGCGATTATCGATTTAATTTATATAAACTATAACAGAATAACTTATATTGGGCTAGGCTTAAACTTAAATTAGGAGGGTTTAAATTTAAATAAAATTTATCTAGCCCAGGGCATACTCGGCCACTGTTACTGCATAAGTCATATTCGTATGAACGTGTAATATGATTTCTTAAAAATGTCAAGTTATATCTTGCTTTATTCCACTCCAACTAACTTATATATCCATTAAAAGCTTAAAAATTAAAATGTGATATTAATTTTAATTAATTTTAATTATACCGATTTTGTAGGGCTGGGCGCAGCCATCTTCGAAAGGTCACAGGGTTATTTCCGTTAAATGTAACTTAGTTACCAAAATGAAAGTGGGGTTGAAAATGGCTCAGTTTTCTTGCATGTCGTTATTTTGCAAGCGTAGAGAAGTTTATTATATATAATGAGGAATTAAAAAAGGAGAGTTGGGAATGCTTAAACTTAAATAAATATTCAAATTATATGTCGAGGTAGAGATCAGCAACCTTTTGGTAATAGTGTGCCAAAATAGGATTTCTAATCCATTTACTTTTCACCCTCTGAATTTCAGAGAGCCCACAACTTAAGCCTAAGCGTTCACCTTATTAAATATTGTACTTATATGGTTAAATTTTTGTTTTTGTCTTATTATTTTCTTTATCTTTCACATGCCATTGACTAGTACTGCCTGCAACATTTGGCACGCATGTCATAGATTGCCGACTTCAGTGTTTAAGTTAGTTTGTCGGTAAATATTGTTACGTTTTTTCTTCTTCTTTTTGCTTGAAATTTGCCTTGGACGTAGTTTCTACAAATTATGAAGGGAGGGTGAGGAAACAGAAGCCAATGTAATTTCTTTGTCAAAATAATTGATTTCTGATAGCTGACATGAACCGTCGTGAGGCACTGTCTTCTCTGTGTTATGGCACAATGACCAATAAGTAGTTAAACTAAATGACATCAAGCAAATAGAGGCATGGGCGCCCACAGGTAGGGGCAAGGTGGGGCACTTGCCCCCCACCCCCCTGGATTGATTGGATAAAAAAATTTTAGACAAAAATAGACACAAATTTTATTAAAGTAAAGAGAAAATAAAGAAAAAGTAACTAAGCTGATGTCCTGTCCGTTCGTTCACCATACAAATACGCTACAGTAAATTAAAACTATATTAAAACATTACTAAAAATGTTGTACCCCCCCCTGGAAAGTTAATCTATTTTTTGCCCCCCCCCCTAGAAAGTTTTCTGCGGGCGCACATGAATAGAGGGGGATCGGGGTCAAACATTTGCGACAATTTGTGACGAATGTTAAACTTTGTGTCTCAATGAGGGAGTTGGGGTCGACTAAAATAATGTAGAAATTATGGGATTGACCTGCATTTCATTCTTACTACTTATTGCTTTTCTTAAAAGCCGATGGCTTGAAAAGACACTATGAAAAAGCCGCTTCAAAATACCCCCCACCCCCAATAGAGACTTGGGCGCTTCCATGTCTAGAATGTTGTCATTTGGAGGTTAAAGGGGCAAGGAGGTGCATATTTGTTCAGAGACTTGTGAAGTGCCAACTGACACTTCTAGCCCCCTAGTCCTTTTTCCATTTGCATTCAAAGTTGGTACAGCAGTGAATATTTTTAAACATCACAATTTAGTGCCCTTAAATATCACAGGACTATTGGGTTGCTAGGCCCACCTGATGGCTCTGGGAGGGTGAACATACAATATACTGGAAATATAGTTGGGTGTTGGGATCAAAATGAGTCGTTTCAATGTTATGATCATATTTCCCGTGGTAATTTAACTAAAAATATTGTAACTAAAATGATTAGCTTTTTCATTCATACTGTTGACTTGTCCGGCCACTATTAGATTACGCGTCTTCAGTCTGGCACCCATTCGCCCAGAAGAACATCGACAGGTTGGAGAAGTTCCAACGACGGGCAGCATGCTTTGTTCTGAACCGCTACAGGAACACATCTAGTGTTGGCAGCATACTGGAACCACTGGGTTGGTCACCATTGGAGAAAACAAGACAATTAATCAGGCTCTCCATGATGTACACGATAAATAATAGGCTGGTCCACTGCTCCAGCATTAAACAGAAACTTGCCCCTCTCCCCCTAGACAGTGAAGAGGCCATGACAGGCAGTTCCGGCTCATAACAGCAAGAACACAGTACAAGAGCTACTCATTCCTGCCAAAGACAATCAAGGACTGGAACATGCTTCCATAAGGAACAGTTGAGGCGACAACACTTGACGCATTTGTGTCTCTTGCCTCAGGCCTTCCAAACCCTAGTGCAACCAGTGAAATATCCCCAGCATAGACAGACACAGAAACATTGCAATTCCCTCTACATAAATAGGAGCCAGAATGATCAATACATTGATCGTGGGCACTTAATATATAGAAGAAGAAGTAGAAGTAATAAAATATAGCTTAGTTACTTGGCTCCCCGACACATAATAATTAGGCTTAAACTTGGGAAGCGAATTTAGGTAAAACATATATCCAGTGGGAAATAATTTAAATTTAATAAAAATACAAAATTAATTCAATAAATAATAGAAAATAACAATGATATGTAAAAATAAATACGATAATTAAATCCAGTTGTTGTATCGGTGAATTTAGATTGTGCATTGCCTTTCGAAATTTAGACAAAATAATTGCCGAGTTGAGATTAAATTTTCGAATATAAATCTTTAATAAAAGAAGTCTATATTATTTCATTATGCGTTTGAACGAAAGATACATTTTATATAATTATCATAATTAAGATTTAAAATAAATACATCCAAGGCTTTAACTTGTTTGAAGTTAAAATATATGTCATGTGACATCTCCAGATTCAAGATGTCGTCTACATCGTCTCAGTTTTTTCTGAACAAAGTTGATGAACTTCAAAAACGGTTGATGGCAGAGAACCGTTCACTTGATGCAGATAAAAAGAATAGAAATCAAGATTCAAGTCCCAGGCGGCCTCGAATGTGTAAGTATTTATTTAAGTTTAAAAATTACACTTAAGCCTTAAATAGATCTGACTCCAAATCCTGAAAACTAAAAAAAAAGTTGTAAAAGTAAAATAATTTGTTTGTTGTCATTTTTGTGAACTGAAATTTAAATGTCCAGCCGGCCAGCCCTACTTATTTAGTTTATTCTAACCAATTTAAATAGATAGTTTTTCTCTTAATAATTCATTTGTGTTAATCCTAGAGTTACTAAAGTAAGTTAGAACTTAAAAATTAGTGTAGTGTAGTCATAGTCAAATTCAATTAACCTACAAAATTTCTGTAAATAATTAGTTCATTATTATAATGATTTATTAGTGATTTATTTATTATTAGCTCCAATTTCTTCAAATTAAAATTGCTGATCAAACTATCCTGGTTAAATTGCTTGTTAATGTTATCACATCATTGTTGAAAACCGGATGAGTGGGCATTTGTCTGGGCCTAAGTCTAAGTTAAGTACTATTAATAGTGTAATAGGCTATAGGTCTAATTTTAGGTCTAAGACTAATGACTAATGATTTAGTGGTGTAAAGTCAACCTAGACCCACCTGGGATCCATATTTAATAGACAATAAATACTATCAATAAAATGCCTACCACAAATACTGCACTACTATTTGAGTTAGGCCTTGTCAAACGCCTGTTTATACTATATTGGTTAATTCATCAAGTCCTTTCACCCATAATAAGTCGTACTAGCACTGAATCAACTCAAGTCCTTTTTCATAATAAATACAACTTTAATATATAATGTAAATTCACAGACTGTAAATTTCATACACACATGTATAGCGCAGCTCGCTATCGGAGAGAAAGAAAACAAGACCTTCTTCCACAAAGTTTCTTTCATGGCTGTGCATGACTAAAACGTATTTCACAAAACAGACTAAATAAGACGTCATAATAAGCATAACAATATGTTACCAAGTCAAGTTTGAGAATAGCATTCACTAACTTATTAATCTCTCAAAAACACACAGCGAGCAATCAAGCATAATATCCAATTGGAACAATTATTAATGAACTCCTATACTCGACAGGCCTATCGGCCCATAATCTAGTTTAGTATAGTATAGAATTGTCACTATATTATAGTCGGCTAATTTACGTTTGGTGTGCCACTTTGACTTTCTGTGTAGGATTCTCTTACTTTTGTTTATTTTTGGATTGTTACTAGAGTTAACTTATCTTTTTTTAAAATATTAATCTGCAGATGGAATGTATTATATTATGTTATAATTTCATTGGGTTGCTTATTATTATATTTAAACTTTCCGGCATTTTGGAAAATGGGTATTGTATTGACTGGTGCTTTTTCTGACAAATTTTGGAGGGAATTTTAGTTGAGGGAATGGAGCGACTGCAGGTCATCGACACTTCTTGCTGCATATCTAGAAAGAAACAATAACGTTGCTACGTTTCCCATAAAAATTAATGTACCGGCTGATATTATTTCATTAAATTTTAACGTTTTGTTCTTATTTTAGTTTCTCTCTGTAAGCTAAAACTTAGTACATTCTCTCTTTCCCCTCCTCATTTTAGCAAATGTGTATTTGCTTTACTTTTTTTTTACATTGCTGTCATATTGGGTGCCATGACATGTCTAAGGTCATGGCAGCCATTGATGATGATTGGCACGCTGAACGTAAATTTACCTTACAGTCTATAGAGCAGGGGTTCTGAAACCTGTGGTTCATGGACCCCTTGGTGAAAATGTGTGGGAGTTGCAGTTTCTTTGTAATTTTATCCATTTAAAAACTGAAGAGGTTCACCTTCACTGCATTCAGCTGATTTGACAAAGAGGTCCACAGAAAATAAAAGGTTAAGAACTCCTAGAGTATTTTTCCTATTGTAACGTGATGAGACTACTCAAAAAACTTATAAAAAAATAATATTTTTGGCTATAAAACTTAATGCAGACTAGAGTTTATTCAGTAGGACTAATAATTATCAGCCAATATAATATAACATATTACAAACTCAAAGTTTTGTTTTCAAGTAAACGTAGACTTAATCATAAAGGCTTAAATAGTTATGAATGGTGGAAAAAGTAGAGACGGTGATGGTTTTATAATTTTATATCCAATTTGTAAATGAAAATGCATTTTACAAAATGAAACTCTAATACGATCTAGGATTATATTGAAACTTTTAAGACGTAAATGATTAACATGGGGCTATTTTAATTTAAAAATCACAGCTTAACAGATTTTACGTGGAGCCTATCAATGCATAAAAATACAAATAAGTATTATACTTAATATAAAACAACTCTTTTACTTTAAACTTGGTCTTTCTTAATAATTAATAAAACTGAAACTGAATTAAACATTTGAGTTTTTTAAAAATGTCCAAGTAATCATCACCCATAGTAAAAATCAACAGCTGTGATTGACTGCAAAGTCACAATGGAACAGTAAAATGAATAAAACCATGATGTTTTATTTAAAAAAATGTGAAATCAATATTAAAACTGTATCATAAAGCATTTTGAAATTACGAAATACTTCTCAATATTGCTTTCAGTGGGGACTGGTATGCCATTAACAGGCTCTTTTCCTGCACAAAATCCATCCAGATCAAGCTCAGAGGGCAGGCGGAGACCTAATATGAGTGGCATGCAGCTTGATTGTGGAGCGAGATCACCCCTCCGTGGTGTACATGACAGGTAGTTGGCTATTCATGAAATTAAATTCTACTTAGCACAAAATTTTGATCAGTTTATTTTAAAGTTTTAGCATTAAGTAATTTATATTAGCAACATTTAATAACTAATTTATTTTTACAAATTTTCAGTGCAGAAATTGACCAGAAGATTGAAGAGATAATGAAACAGTCTGGCATCCTAACTTTTGGAGAGCGGGTAAAGTGATAATAATTTTAAAAAAAATGTAAAACTTACTCCCTCCCTCTCTTCACCAATATACTTGTAAACTAATTATGATTAAGTTTAAGTCAAAAAGTCAAAATAAAATTCTCTGAATGAAAGGATGCTCTAATAAAAATAAAAAAAAAATTGTTTTAGCACTTCTTTGTAGGCCTAACTAATAGGATTCATTTTAGTTACTGTAGAGAGAAAATTTGTTGAAATGTAGACTACACAATGTCCCGAATTCCAAGGCATGAAATAATATTCTATTAAGTGTGATATGAAGGGTTGATTTAGAACAGAATAGGATAGTTTATCTAGAATATGTTTGTTTCCATAAGCAGTAAATTGCCAAAGTTTATAGTTTACGTGAATTGGCAATCCCAAAAACAAACTAGATTTAAAATAATTGTCTACTTGTAGAGAATACTGAGCACTGTTGAAGATCTTCAACCAGAAGGAGAACTGGGTCATGGAACGTGTGGACAGGTCACACGGATGCGTCACAAACCAACTGATAATTTTATGGCAGTGAAAGTAAGTCATTTTAAAAAAAAAAAAGTCAGCTTAGAAAGCTTAACAAAATTGCTAAATAATTTTTTGTAAGGAAAAGCCAAAAGAGTATTACTTCTTTTTATTATGAACACACCTACTGGTAAAGTTGAAGTCAAGTGCTGATAAATCTTGACAGACTGTTGATTAATTTCTTAAATTTATTGATTCTAGCAAATGCGACGTTCTGGCAATAAGGAGGAAAATAAACGCATCATAATGGATCTGGATGTAGTTATCAAAAGCCATGATTGCCCTTTTATTGTACAGTGTGTTGGAACATTTATCACAAAGGTATGGATCTAGTATTCTAGGATTACTTAGCAGAAATTGTTGTAAGAAACGGAGACCAGGATATAAGAGTGAGAGAAAAAAAAGGTATATTTTAAATATTAAAACCAAAATATTTTTTGTTTGTTTGGTCATATTAATTTGGATTCTTTTTTTAAAAATGAAATTTTAATTTGTTTTAGAGTGAAGTTTGGATATGTATGGAGCTAATGTATACCTGCCTGGACAAGTTATTGAAAAGAACACGACAGCCAGTACCAGAGAAAATATTAGGAAAAATTACTGTAGCCGTAGGTGAAACTTTATGTTTGACTCTTAAATCATTAAAAAAATTTATGTGATTTGCAACCTAGATACTGTTTTAATTTTTTTGCTCCCAAATTCTTTTGATTCATTTTTTAAAAAACTGCCATATCTTTATTCTGATTTTTTGTTTGCATGACCTTTATCATGTGCATTTTGCGCTGGTGGCAGCTGTCATATTTCTTAACTTGTGATTTTGTTCATATTAAAACAAATGGTTTTAGAAATTGTTATACAATATGACTTGATGTGCAAATTTAGCTGGAAAAACAGGATATAAGAGGAAAAAATTGTAATTTGCTGCCATTTAACTATTTGTTAATATTTTTACAAAAGGATTAATTCCTTTGGTTAGAAATGAAATTCTAACTTTATGAGTCTTTTAGATTCTTGAATTGACTGATTACGACCTTGTGTATCACATAGTAAGCAACCTTAGCGGCTCGTCACACTTCATATTGTGAGATGAGAGATGAAATACAGTTTTAAAAAACAACTTATTTTAAAAGAAAAATAACTCCATATAATATCCCAACTGATATTTTGTTTTATAGTGAATTACATTTGTACAATTTTCTTTGCTGTATTCAATTGTTTTCTTTCATAACCACTATTTTCAGACTGTTAAAGCCTTACACTATCTTAAAGAGACACACGGAGTCATACACAGAGGCAAGTGTTTTTTTTTTTTAATTGGAGAAAACACGTTTTTAAAATAATGCAGTTCCACACCTCTTTCACCGTTAACAATATTTCAGCTACGTCGGTGGCATCACTTTGAGTGTTGGGTGAGGTGTGGGCCACACCGGGTCACACCATCACAAGGCTGATATGAGAGTCAAGGTGAAAGAAAAATCCTACAAATTGACAAATCCAAATAATGAAATTAATTTGAAAAATTCCAATACAATGTAACATATAAATATAATAAATATTTATACAGTGTAATTATTTTATTTACTGGTATTCTATTTTTGGCTTCATACTTGAATTATGTCCATACTGTTACGAAAAAAAATGTTGTATTGTCAGAACTGCCAACCCTTCCCATTTTGTTGGAATTATACAGATTTTTTACCCCCTCATTCCAACCTTCAGACAAACCCATTTAAATTCCGATTTTTCTAAAGTTATAATTTTTCACAGCATGAAAATCCGAAAGCGACCAAAAAAAAGAAAAAATCGCCTACGTGAGGACATCCGAATAGTATTAGTCTAATGGGATCTGGGTGCGAATGGCGGCGCTGCATGTCCGGGGCCATTTTGACTAAATGCTATTCGGATGTCATTTGTGGTAGTTTATTTTAGTTAAACTGAAGAAGTAAGTTTACAAACATATAGTTCATTCAATTATCTTTCATATGATAACTCATTTTGTTTTAAGTTTACAAACATATAGTTCATTCAATTATCTTTCATATGATAACTCATTTTGTTTTAAAATCCCAACAACAATATTTTAAATAGTTTTTTTAATCCCAACCTCTCACTTCTGGTACCCGGGCGCGAATAGCCACTTCGTTGTTTTTATCGAAGTGAACCGCGATCTCCAAAATGTTAAAATGTTACAACAAATTCTAATCCACAGATGTGAAGCCATCTAATATCCTCCTTGATCAGAAGGGTAATGTCAAACTGTGTGACTTCGGAATCAGCGGGCGACTTGTTGATTCCAAGGCAAAAACCAGAAGTGCAGGTTGTGCAGCTTACATGGCCGTAAGATCATTCTTTATTTAGGACTGTGTATACTAAAAAAAAATAGAGTTTTAGTTTTAACAAAATAAATTTGTTTAAACAAAATAAATTTGATTAAACTTTTAAAAAATTGTAAAATGTTATTGCTTGGGCCACGACAACTTCTAAAGTCCCACTTTGTATTAAAGCTCACATAAGTAATTGTAATAAAGTATTGCTTTTAATAAATGATTTTGTTTATGAGGCAAATTAATTTTCATTTCTTTTTCTAGCCTGAGAGAATTGAACCGCCAGATCCAACTAGGCCAGATTATGATATCCGAGCTGATGTTTGGAGTTTAGGGATATCAATGGTCAGTAACAATTTAGAAGGAAAACAACAACACCCCCCCCCCCCCCCCCCCAAAACCATGGCACTGCTCCATGTTTCCACAACCTAGAAAAAAGTTGTTATTGTTCTCAAAAACTCAAAGCGGAAAAAAAAAAAACCTCATTAAATTTGTTAGTATCTCATATCTGAAAATTATTACATGGTTATAAAAGAGAAAAAAAAGGGGGTGGGGGGGGCAAAGACAAGGTATCTAAAGAATTTTTTTACCATATGCCTCAATTTTCTACTTGTTGATTTGTAATTTTCTTAGTCTTTTCATGGCTTCTGGTAAACAAGTTCTGGGTCCTAAATTATTTTCAGCTTATAGGGATTCATATGGCATCCTTCTGTCTTTGAGAGACATTGAGCGGCTATTGACACTTCATGAAATGGCTTACGAAACCGATCATGGAATGGCAGTCTTTGCTGCATTTCTCGCAGGGCACGAGAACCTTGACTCTAAATTTGGCCCTCTGTTTTGTTGCAAGGGCTTTGTTTTGTACATCTCCTGCCTGTTTGAATCGTTCATACACTGCTGTTTGCCAGTTAAGATAATGATCACCCATTCATTGAGGTCTATGTTGGCTTCCTTCACGTTTCTTTTGCGAAGATCCTTAAATCGCAGTTTATATATCAGTTTTTAGAGGGATTTATAATACAAATAGGTTTCATATTAATGGTGTGAAGAAATAAGAGATTTTTTTCGTTGTTTGTGTGTTCCTATCAGGTTGAGTTAGCAACAGGTGAATTCCCATACAAGAACTGCAAGACGGATTTTGAAGTTCTTACCAAAGTTCTGCAGGAGGACCCTCCGCAACTAGGGATAGAATTTTCAATGGATCTAAGATCATTTGTAAAAGATTGGTAAGCATCTGTAATGAATTATGCCATTTGTAATGGCGAGATTGAATATTCAAATGTTTGCTCCTTCTTTTAATGTGTTTAGATTTCAACACTTGAGTCCACTGAGATTCAATCCTGTGCATAAGACATTTAAGCCATTTAAGGAACCGAAGAGTGTCGTCAGTGAATTTACAATATAATAGTGGTCCAATTTATAATCTGCTAGTAAAAGCTAGTAAACGCCACAGTGCAAAAATCTGAAAGAAGTTTTTATATTTATTAAGCCATATATTAGGTGAAAATCACAAATATGTTTAAAACAAAGAAAGGCTGCCACCCAAGATGTAAAAAAACAAACAAAAGTCGATAAAAAATGTGTTTTCTGCTTGTTAAGTTTTCATGTGATTTGTTGACATCCAGTTGTTTTATTTCTGTGGTCACCTACGGCTACAGATAAATAGTTTATATGGTCACCTTGTTACTGACGTAGGGTTTACTTCATGTTTTTTCAGCTTAACAAAAGATTGCAAGAAGAGGCCAAAGTATAGAAAGTTACTGGTACGTGTACAATTAATACTCAGGTATTTGGTAGTAAATGAAAAAAATGTAACCCTCTTAAAAGAAATATAAAAATATCAGATTGATGAGTAATTCTCCCTTAACGAATGAGCTCTGTTTCTACTCCTGAGTTGTTAGGTGATTAGGTCCATAACTGAGGAACTTAAGTGATTAGGTCCATAACTGAGGAACTTCAGTGATTAGGTCCATAACTGAGGAAAGTAAGTGATTAGGTCCATAACTGAGGAACTTAAGTGATTAGGTCCATAACTGAGGAATTTAAGCTTTTTTTAAAATAAAAGTTAAATGAAGTAGAATAAAAAAAATGAAATAATTTTTGTGATTCCAAAAAAGGCTTGTTAAACAAGTAGGTTGTTAGGTGAGGAGCCCCTTGCGTTAAATAAAGCACTAGTTAGGGGGGAATTAACTCTTGTTTAAATTGTTTAAATATCTCAACATGGACAAGTTATCTCTTGTTTAAATTTTAAAAATATCTCTCGTTTAAATTTTAAAAATATCTCTTGTTATGGACAAATTATCCTTTGCTTAAATTGAAAATATATAACTCTCATGTTAAATGGAAAAATTATCTCTTGTTTAAATTGAAAATAAATCTTTTGTTATATGGACAAATCATCTCTTGTTTAAAATGAAAATATATCACTCTTTTCATATGGGCAAATTATCTGTCTACAGAGCTGATTTGTGATTAATGCATGTATTTATTTTTTAACCGTTTGATGATTTGAACCATTTGATCAGGAACACCCACTCATCAAGAGATCTGAAGCTGAGCATGTTGATATTGAAGCCTGGGTGGCCGATATGTCTCAACTGATGGAGATGAACAGGCCTTCGTGACAGGTAAGCTCATGAAACTTAAGGAGGCTCAACCAGGTAATCATGAGAGGTAAGGGGCTGTCCATTAATCATTTCAACAATTATTTGGCAAGTTTTTACTCCTTCCCTTTCCCATGTCAACAAGTGTGAAACTTTCAAGGGACACCCCCCCCCCCCCCCCCCTTTCCCCCTCTCTTTTTTTNCCCTTTGTCCTCTATGGATATTTTTTAAGGCTTAAGATCTAGGCATTGGCTGGGAACAAAAAATTTATTACATTTTTAATAACCTCTATAACAAATTTAAAATGTGTAAAAATTAGAATTTATGACTAGAGTTCAATTTAAATTGCAGAATTTTTTAAAGAATTGATACTAAAATCTAAATAAAATTTATAAGTAAATTTATTATTTCTTTCATCTACTCATTAGCCCAAATGTTCCTCTTTTGCAATAGTGCATTGTAACTAAATAATTTATCGTCACATTCTGATTATTATGGAACTGGGTGACATCATCCTTGTCTAGTTCTAACCTTTCAGCACTTTAAAATATCAGGATTTTCTCTTTGTCAATAATTTTCATCACCTCTGCTCTGTCTTTCTGGCAGCTAAACAGATAAGTCACTTTTTAAAAAAAATGTCTGTATTTGTTTGTTGAAGAGCACATGGTAATTTCTTAGACCCAATGGCAAATCATTGTTGCTTTTCTGACCATTAAAAATTATAAGCATGTTTAAAATTATTAAAATTTTAAAAAAAATTTCCACAAATAATCTGAGATTTAAAATTGTTAATTGATTGATGATATCAATGTATCTTTTACCCCCCCCCCCGATGTAAGTTATGGATGACCCCTAAGCATATACAACTAGAGAGTTGATCATGGCATACGCAAACCTGGAAAATCCATGATTTGTTTTATGTCAATTTAAAAATAGAGACGTTAGGAATTGGAGGGATGTTAATTAGGAAATGGAGGGATGTTAATCATTTTGAGATTTTTTTTCTCATAAAAATTCTTGTTAGAAATAAAAAAAATAACTCCCCAGCAAAAAGTGCATGTACTTTAGGGGCCACTAATGGGGTTTGAGAATTCCATCGTTTAATCAATCCAGCCATAACTAATTTTTGATTAACAAATAATAATAATATTTGCTCATTTTGCTTCCCAGATCTGATGAGAAATGTGTTTATAAACTAGCCATTTGGAAGAGAGACAGTTGGCGTGAAAAAAAGGGACATTTATAACAAGGCTGAATCACGCTATTGGTGCACACTGATTTCTGCACCAGAACCTCACACAACAGAACCACCGCTGTCTCTTCACCGTGATAATGGATGGAATGAACTATGAACTCTTACTACAAGAGTTTAGATCTCCCCCTCTGTTGACAGAGTGCTGTGGCTTGCAGAGAGTGCATAGTCGGATAGTCTTTCCACAAGTACTCTTCAAACTATTGAACAGGATTTAGTATCAAATAAATAACAACTGTAAAAAAACAAAAAAAGGGAGGAATTGTACCAGTTACAGTGTTTGGCTGGAAAGCCATTGAGAAGGCAAGGGATTTCCTTGAATGGTACCATCCAAGGTTTTTACAACATGAGTGACATGTTGTGCCAGTTGCTTTGCTGAGTGTGTTCATTTCTGTCAGTCTTTAAGCATTTTTTCTTGCTTGAACTACTGTAGCATAAAGAAGTGCATTGCACAAGTTTTTTTTCGGTGAACTTTTTCTGTTCTGCCAGTTTAATGTGACTCTGAGGTCCTGTTTGCTAAACAGCATGTATATTTGTACAAAATATGAGGCTAAAGATCTTCTATATACACCTACAGGTCTTTTACTTTTACTAATTTTTTTCTGTTTTAGGGGTGGGGGGATGGCGGGTTTGTTCAAAAGTGGACGGGTGGGGGAGGGGTGAAGGATCATGCTGACATCCACAAGCAAGCATTTTTAATTATTATATGCTGCTTTAGCCCACTGTGTGTATTCCAGTGTTTTTAACATGACCCATTTATTGAAAAAATTTCTTAATGTTGGACCACCAATAACTAGTAAAAACTTCATAAGGGTGATCACTCTTATACATTTGGTTGCTAATTGTCACCGAATGTTAACACTTTGAGTTTTGGCTTTTAAGTTTTTTCTCTATTCTCAGGTCTGACTCTACGCGAATGGTTTATACTAATAACTATCGGACTTATTTATAAGTTTAAATCTAGTGGCTCTTTATAATCATTATTATACTTCCTGGAGTTACACATTGTATAATGTTGTATGCCGACAAAGGGTGTGAGTGAATAAGATGCACGTCCATCATGAGGCTTTATGTTTATTAGGCTCTAATAATACAACAGAGAGCGGGTCATCCTTGTCAGGTGGGGTTTAGCTATTAGTTTTGAGCCAGGCCAGATACCATCAATGAGCAAAGACTTAGCTTTTACTGGCTGATGGATTAGCTCAGCTGGAACAGCTCCTGTTGGCTGATGGATTGGCTCAGCTGGAACAGCTCCTGTTGGCTGATGGATTGGCTCAGCTGGAACAGCTCAGGTCTTTCAGAGTGTTTCTATAATAATAGCAAATAGCCTTTTTGTTGCTATGTGCTGCCAATCACGGCTCCTCTGTACTGTTTTCAACTGCAACCTTTAGGGCAATGTTTATGCTGTTTTATAAAGAATAAACACAAAGGTAAAATAGTAATTCAAAATTAATTTCCTTCAAATGCTGATACCCAATGTTTTTATTTGTGTTGTTATTGTTCAACTGGCTTTTTGGATAATCTGCATTCTAGCACACTGACTGTTTCTATTTTTCTTAGTTCAGAATATTGCATCAGATCTCAATTTAAATGGTACAATTTAGCGTATTCAATTTGTTCACAAAAACTGAGTTCAAGTTCCCTCAGTTGAGCAATAGCCATGTAAGAAGCCCATCATTATTTGTATTAGGGATACCACTAAGCAACAAAAGCCGTGACTGCTCTGACACTTACGTCAATATTAGAAAGCCGACGCTGAGATATTTCATGTAAAACTTAGGTCAGTCCACAATAGGAATGGTGGGGCCCTGAAATGAATCAAGATAATTGACATGTTTTTTTTTTACAGTAGTGTTGTGTTCAGGATTATCCCATCTCAAGTTTGTTGTGTTTGCAAAGTTAATTTTTAACCTCAAGAAATTGAAGTTCACATTAATTTTTTTCTCAATGAATCTGTTAAAAGTGTGACACATTTTATTTGCTAAATATGAACTTTTTACAAAGAAAATCACCATTAAAAGATAGACCTGGTTTTAGATGAGCATACATGATGTTAAGAAGATGAAGTACCATTAGTTATCAACAGATTCTTAGTAAACCGGTGGCTTTAAAATTTACAAACAATGAAATATATATGTTTATTATCCAAATTTTTAATTTCTTACATGTTGTTGAACTTTGCTCTGATACTGGCTGTTTGTAATTAGATTAAATTTAGCTTTTATTATAACTGTCACTATGACGTTTCACTTACCGCTTTTACACCAGATTGGTAAATTTAATTGATTTGTAATTTCTAAAAAAATATTTTTGGGTGTGTATTCACAAATGAGCAACACACCGGAGAAGGTTCTCCATTCCTTTTCTTTCCTTTCAATTGAAGTGTGCAATTATTCATGTGACCTGCCTGCCGGCAGTAGAAGGGATTCTCTGGCCATTCCCAAATAAAAGTTATTCATAATATATGCCCCATCAACTTTCAAAATATGAATTTGATTTTCAAAATTTAAATGAACTTTGATGAAGATTTGTTAGTTTTAAAACATTATCACTGTCATGTGAATCAAAATAATTTCCCACACTATAAAGAGCAATTCGCTTGGCTAAGACTATACATTAAAAAAAAAACCAATTCAGCCTTATAATTAACGGGGTCTACAATATGGCAATGGTCTTTATGCTTTTTTTTCTATGGTCTCTATTGAACATATGCCCTTCTAGTACATTATATTTACATGAGAGAAAGATATAAAATATTGTTGATGTATATTTTGTTTGCATTGTAAACTAACGAAAGTGAATGTCACTTTGCTTTCACTCTGACTTACTGGGTTTCTTTCTTTTTTTTTAAGAAAGCTGTATTTGTCCTTTGTCCACATCAACTTCAAATACTGTGTTCTAAGAGATGAGATCTGCAAATCAGGCAGATATTTAGAGGCAAAGGTCGATAACCCTGATCTCAGAATAAAGTTATCTCCTTTTTTTCTTCCAAACCAGAAGTTTAAAAAAATTAATAAAACAGCTTCACACGTCTCATACATAAATTATTTGCCTTCACACATCTCATACATAAATTGTTTACTAATCAAACATCTCTTAAATTGTTTACCATCACACATCTCTTACATACGGTACATTATTTACCATCGCACATCTCATACATAAAGTATTTACCAAAACCAGATTTCTGTTTGAATTCTTTACAGTTTTACGAGTAAATGCCTTTTTTTTTTGTTTGACGTACTAGTATAAAAAAACTGTATGGACATCCAAGAAGGGATATCATTTTAGTGGCCACTGAGTTTGACGTACTAGTATAAAAAAAACTGTATGGACATCCAAGAAGGGAGATCATTTTAGTGGGCCACCGAGTTTGACGTACTAGTATAAAAAAACTGTATGGACATCCAAGAAGGGAGATCATTTTAGTGGGCCACCGTGTTTGACGTACTAGTATAAAAAAAACTGTATGGACATCCAAGAAGGGAGATCATTTTAGTGGGCCACCGAGTTTGACGTACTAGTATAAAAAAAACAGTATGGACATCCAATAAGGGAGATCATTTTAGTGGGCCACCGTGTTTGACGTACTAGTATAAAAAAAACTGTATGGACATCCAAGAAGGGAGATCATTTTAGTGGGCCACCGAGTTTGACGTACTAGTATAAAAAAAACTGTATGGACATCCAATAAGGGAGATCATTTTAGTGGGCCACCGAGTTTGACGTACTTGTATAAAAAAAACTGTATGGACATCCAAGAAGGGAGATCATTTTAGTGGGCCACCGAGATTTTTAAATATAACCAAACCAGGAAAAAAAATGTTTGGGAAAAGCTGCAGATTCTAAACTCGAGGTGCTGAGTAATTTGTAAACATTTTTAAGTAAGATCCAAATGTTGTTGTGCGATGCACCTTTTAAAAAAAGGTTATTTTGATCAAATTTGACCTTGTTTAGAACATAATGTTTAGATTGTCCGGCATGTTTATATTTATTAATTTAGTCAAAAATTTAAATGCATTGATTAAATGTAATGTAGATCTTTTGAAGTAGCCTAAACAGAGTTTATATTGACATGGTGGAAATAATGTGGCTAAAAAGAAGGTTCATAGTCGTAGCAGTATTGTATAAATTAAACGAAATTTGCTTTCTTGATGTCTCTTGACAGACTTTTCAACTTATTTAGCTGTCGCAGGCGAGTCATCATTGTGAAAATACCATAAAGTAGCTTTTTGCAGATTTGTCTTTAAGTAATGTAATAAATAGTGCTACAAGTCATGTTAAACCCTCCAAATCCATGTCCATATTTAATTGATCTTTAAATTCAGGGGTGGCCAGCCTGCGGGCTGCAAGATCCGCCAGGTTGAATATTGTGATTTACTAGATTTATCACAAATTATTTTCATTCTTGGCATTCAAAATATATAAACAGCTTGTTTTAGTCAAGGTGTACTGGCCCCTCTTTTCACTGATTCAAATAAATCTTAAATTAGAATGATAAAACATTATTATTGTTTAGAAACTACTTAAAGGATTTATATAAACACAGCTAGGTAAAGAACCTAAATTTCCACTATAATTTTTTTTTTAGTAACGGGGGCAGTCTTTTGGTTATGTGTAAAATGATGCAAAAGTAAATGTAGTTAAGGGCCATAATGCATCGCTGCATTTTAAATGGATCGAACACTGATTTCAACAATTTCATCTCCCCCCCCTGCAACAAAGTGGGCAAATTTTTATGTAGCACTGCATATAAATATATTACGGAGTTACATTTCGAAGAATTATGTGCATTAAGAATGAATAAAGTATTGTGTTATTGTTTATTTGGTATTTATTTTCACCGGGTTTGATGGATAGCGACCTGCAAAAAGTTAGCCCATGACTAAAATGGCCAGTGAAGCCATTTGGGTTGGCTACCACTGTTTTAATTGATTCCTGTCCCAGAGGAATATCAGATTAATTTGATTTTCAATTCAATCATTCAATAATTTTCCAACAGATCTAAAAAAAAAACATGTTCAATTTCAACCCATACAGTATTTTAATTGCGCTGTTGCCAGCCCACTCATAATGGAACACTTATTTTTCAAACTTATTTGTGTTTAAAGTATCCACATGAAAGGCATTACTTGTCAAACAATGGTCACAATATAAGTAAAAAATGGTCACACTAACCAAACAATGAAATATTGGCTGGTCAACTATTTCTTATTTATGATTTTTGTCTCACGCAATAGTGCCAATGTCAGAACAGGCAAAATGTGGTTACAAATCTACACTCCAGTTAAAGAAACACTTTAAAAATGGAATACTTTTCCTTGATACAGTACAGGTAATAGAAAGAGAAAAAAAAGGGTAGAGGTATAACATTGGTAAGGAGGGCTTGCATGATGCAGGCCAACTGGTAGATCAATAGAAAAAAAACAAAAAAACATGGAATGGGTTGATAAAATGCTTGGCATAGTAAAACTGCATAAGTTTTGTCAAAATATCCCTTATTTACAAACAGAAAATTAATATTTACATAAGGAATTGCAGAAATACAATCCTTAAGATAAAAGGTGACATTACAACAGGAAATTAAGCAAATTGTACTCAAATTTTACAGTTGGTTAAACATAATTGAACTCTTATGGCACATTTATCCTGTACCTTTTTTTTAGGTATTCGCAAACATGTTACTTCTTGGAAACAATCCTAAAAAATTTTTTATTTTTAAGAGAATTTATTTCAGATCTCATGTGGCTCTTTTTATGCACTGTCTATTATTAATGTTGTGCCAGTCAAGTCAGCATACTGAATGGATGCTGAGTCACTGTTCTGAAAGAACTGTGGTTCTCACCAACACCTCAGTCACAGCATATGGGTCACAGTTAGAAGATGGCCGTCGGTCCTCAAGATAACCACATCTATCTTCTGCAACCTGCCATAGATAAATCACACTGCTTTGAGATAATTATTGAATGAAAGTTAGCACACCACAATAAACTCATTTATTCTCAGTAAAACCAAAGATATTGCGTGGGCCCCGCCTCTGAAGTGGCTGCAAAGGGCCTTGGATATTTAAGGGGCTGAAAGTTGTGATGTGTAAAATAATTACAGCTACGGCATCAACTTTGAGTGCAGATTGCACAAAACTCAAGAGTGGCAGGTGACCTCGGAAATTCAAGAGATGGTTCTGAGTACAGCACAACACTTATAAAATAGCAGGCACTAAAAATATTTTAAAAAATAGTTGATAAAAATAATAAATTTATAATAATGCCATTTATATTATTTACAATCACCGAACTGCGATCCAGATACAACTGTCAAAAATATGTCAAATCCGAAATCTTACCTGACGAGGTATTCTAATACTCGTCCCTCTATTGGCTACTCCTGCTGAGAAATCATGGATGCTTGAAGTCTCGTGACGGCCAGTCAAACGCCGTTCATTATCCTTTCCCTCACGTGGATCATATGCTTTGATGTGGCGGACATGATGTTTGGAGAGTTTTTCAATGGCTTCCTCAATAGCTCTGTGTTAGGATATTTAAAAAAATTAAAGTATATATTTCAGCATTATTTTGTGAGTACCGTAATAATAACACTTCAGTTATTCAAGCCAAATCCAGTAATATTATTAATAACTATTAATCCAGTAAAGCCATTTACACTGTCTGTAACGCCACTAACCTTTTAGAGCCACGATGGTGCTAAAGACTTGTTAATTATTATCACCGATATTACTGATAACATCAAAGGTGTAAAAATAATAACATACTTGATACCATTTGGTTCTCTCATCTCCTTGGTGCTGTAGTTGCAATGAGCACCTGCTCCGTTCCAGTCACCTTCCATGGGCTTGGGGTCAAGGGTGACAATCACACCAAAGTCTTCTGCCACACGATGGAGGATGTACCTGGCAATCCACAAGTGGTCTCCCATGTCAATGCCTTCACTAGGTCCAACTTGGAACTCCCACTGTAGTTGGTTGAAATATTACTTTGCTGAAAGTTTTAACATTTATATTATGCCCTAACTGGCATTCCCACTATACCACCTGATATCCCACCACCACACCTAAAAGTCCCACAAAGTTTTTATTTAGATTTATTTTTCTTGTTCCTCATTCAATCTCAAATTTTTGACAGAATATCCACCGATTTTAAAAGACTTAAATTTTTTTACATTGGTATGAAGTACAATAAGGAGTTCAAAGGTCAGGTACCTGAGCTGGCATGGTCTCAGCATTACAGCCACTAATTTTGACACCAGCATACAAGCAGGCCCTGTAGTGGGCCTCAACAATGTCCCTGCCATAGACCTTGTTGGCACCAACACCACAGTAGTAGGGACCTGGATATACAATGAATGACAAAAGCATTAGGTCCATTAAAGTGATAGCTTCTTTTCCCAAGGACAAGCAAAACAAGCTATTTAGTAATCACAAGGTCAAGGTTAATGGGAGTATAGAAGAAAGTAGATGGGTAAAAAGTATAAAATGAATTCTGGTTTTTAACCATACAATTTGTTTAAAAGCATGATGCATTAGGGCAGAGATGCAAAAACTGGAGATCCAAAGTTTTTTAAATTTATGTCATATCAATACCGGTACCCGGTACATATAATTCTCTAGGTGTGAAAGTAAGTTAGGCGTAATTGTGAGATCAATATTGGGCAAAAAACATTCCTGAAAACTGAAAAATAGTCTCTTAAAAATAACACAAATGTGTTTGGTGCATAATATTTTAAGTTTTTTAAATACAGAAATATTCTCAATTTCAATATAGTGTAATAATTCTGCGGTGTAAAAAGGGGTGGGACATTCAAGTTTAAATATAGTTCAGGTTCAGGGGCATGAAAAAGTGTGTGGTGTCGTAACCTGGGGGGTGTTTTAGCAGGAATTGGGATATTTGTAAAGTGCATTGCTTGAGTGAGTGCATGCATTTCTGTCACCATTGTTTGGTGAGCTTTAATAGTATAGTCGATACTAAACAGGGGTTGCAACCAGAATTCTAACACCCCCCCCCTAAAAATAAACTTAACAGTATTTGTACCATCTTATGGATTTTTATTACTAGTACTTGCATCGGCTGGCCAAGAACTGATGTAATCTAACATTCAGTAAGGCTACACATAGAAATGCATGGTAATCAGAGCAGAACGTTCGTTCTTCTGTAACATGAGATATTGCAAGTTGTGCTTTAATGGTAATGTTATCTTATTAACATCAGCTCGAAATAAATCCCTTTTCATGTGATGACATTTTTTTTTTAATGTCTTTGGCAGGGACATCATTTGGGTAGGACATGATTCCCCCCNTTTCCCCCACCTCCCCCCCCCCACCTGAAATGATGCACCTGGTCTTTGGCTACACAATAAGTGTAAGGTTATAATATAACCTTGGGGTCCAGGGAAGCCATTCTTTGGCCAGCCAAAAGGATGACCATCATAGTCCAGGAGTGTGTATTCTTGTTCAATACCGAACCATGGGTGGGCATCTGAGGCCCTGCTCATGACTTCCTTGCATGTCTTTCTTCTGTTGGTCTCTAAGCAAAACAAAAAATTATTAAAACATGAGGTTTTGATAAAAGTAAAATTCTGTTAATGACAAAAAATGTTGGAGTCACAACCTAAAAGTACCCCTCTACAAACATAGGAGCCAAAATGATCAATACCGGTACATTAACTGTGGGCCCTCAAAATATAGAAGAAATATAGAAGAAGAAGTAAAAGTTGATTCAATAAACGGATCAATTACAACTATTCAAATGCATTTTCTTTTTACACCAACCTGCAGGTTTTTTGTTGTATTTGTAGACCTCACACAGCACCAGCTTGTTCTTACCACCTCTGAAAGGGTCCTTAAACAGTGCACAGGGGTACAAGTACATGTCAGAGTTGGAGCCCTCGGCTTGGTATGTGCTAGAACCATCAAAATTCCAGATGGGGCAGTCTTAGTGGTGGGGAAAAAAAAATTAAATGTAAATAATAAATTTTAAAAATAGGAATACAATCAATCATATGATGTTAGAAAATTTAAAAAAAAAAATTATTTTTTTTTTTAATGATGTTAGAAATATTGGGACAGTGATAACATAGGAAAAGCTGAATGACTGGTTTTGATATTAATTGGCAGATGAAGGAGAAAATCAGTGCCGGTACTCACCATCTGGTTTCTGGGGTTCAAAGTCAAGAGTTCGACATTTACTCCGAATGCCTTCACCTGTGCCATCAATCCATACATATTCAGCCATTACCTGCGGTTAATCAAATTGAGAATAGAATATTACCGGTATAGAAATAGAATCATTCAAACTGACTTGGAAGTCAAAGATTTATAAAATATTTATTGGAATTCAAAAGTTGAGGAAAACCATTTTATTTAAAAAAAGAAAAAAAAAGAAGGTGTTTACCTGATCATCTGGCTGTTCAAGGTGGAGATATTTTTCTAACAGCTGTTTGTTACCAACCGTTCCTGGGATGGGTGGAAACATGGTGAACTTGTTCAAATTTAAACCTAATGAGAGAAATGAGACAGTGCAATTAAATTAAATGGACAATACGTATGTAATAAATGGACCATCCATAAATGACATGTCATGCATCTAGGGGGTGGGAGGGTGTGTAAATTATGGGACAAATTTTTAAGGATGGTAGGCCTATACCTGGGGGTCAAACATCTGCCAAAATAGTGTGACTTCACTTATGGATGGCCCCTAATGTCATGTCTTCATATTTTTAAACTAAACCATTATTAAAACATATTATGATTGAATTACGTCATTAGGTAGTTTAACTGAAAGTTTCCTGGGCTCTTTCATATAAATAAAGATATTTGCCACATCAACATTGAAAAAGCTAAAAAAAAAAAAACATTTCCGTAAAAGGAAATTACTATTCGTCTTTTCATATAATATGCACCACTTACTTACCTCTAAATGCAGAAAAACCTGGTCTCAGTAATATTTGTATCACTTAAAGTTAGCCTTAAACTTAATTTTGAATAAGTTTACCAAACCATCAAACCCCTGCATAGGCAACTGGTACGGAAATAACAGTTAAGTTACATTAGTGACAGGATGTGACCTGGAACATTGGATGTAGCCATTGTAGGCCTGTACAAGTTATGATACCGGTACCCCGTGTAGTCTTCATAGTTTACACATAGCAGTTTACAGCAAAGCATATAGTTTAGTTCAAAACAGTAGTGTCACTAGGGGAGTGCAAGGGGGATGCGGATCACATAGGCTTAGGGTGACACCCTCACAGGAGGCGACAACAAATAGAATAGAGTAATTTGAGTAAGTGAGTTTGCTCAAGTCTGTTTTATAACAGATTTAAGTTAAATTTAAATACAAGAGCAGGGTGTCACCAGAGCAGGAATAATCAGAGGAAGTCCATGGGTAAGTCTAGAGGGGATGATACCATCATTCAAATTCAATGATCAGTATTTTAACAACGTGGAAAAAAAAGAAGTTGAATTATCAATAATAGCGAAGATTTTTGAATTAACGTTAGCATGTTTAACCCTTAAGACTAAGCAAAGCATTTGAAAATTCACACTTAATAAGTAAGATTGCCTATGTCGATTTTAGCGCTCAGTATCAACGCCCTGTTCGCTGTATCCCCTCCTCCCCCACCCCCACCCTTACGCCCCAGTTATTTACGTTACAGCGGGTAGAAGACCGTTTATATACTTAAGTTTATATTCCTCAGAATTTAAAACTTACAGCCCTCACTTCAAGTCAACACTGAAGATTTCATGCATCCAAAACAAAGCAAGCTGTCAGTGAAGTGTGTCTTTATCTAGGCTAATCAATGACACCATGCGTCTCAACACAGCAGAACATTTAATGTGTAGGCCTAATACTAATATGTGTTTGCTTGCTTACAGTTTCAACGTCCCCCCTTCCCCCGCACCTCTATTACAACGCTGCACGCATCAAATCAGCCAGTTGTGACATTCAACACTGGTAGGCCTACTCTCTTCAAAATTCTAAACGGAACGCCAACCGATATTCGCGACACGTTACAGAATATGCCCTACAAATATATTTGGTTTTCCCCCCAAGAAAACAATTTAAATTGTTAAACCGCTTAAAAAGTAAGTTCACGTATATACCTTACCTTTACCGAATTATTCCGCAAGTGCAACGATGACAACAAAATGAGACGGTGTCATTGCCTGCTACTGTGAGTACACAGTAGCTTGATGCCCTTCACCAGAAACCGCTAAAGTGGGACTTGGTACACGGGGGAGGGGGAGGGGCTGTGCGCGCGCTGATCGTCTGGTCTCTCCCTCCCCCCCCCCTCCCTCCTCATTTTCTTGCGTCCTTGATGCTGTATCTGTAACGTTTTTGTTCTGTCATTCAGCGGTGGAAGTCTTCGGGATAGACGAAGCCACGGCCACGTTCTTCTTCGATAAGAGAGCGAGGTGAAGGACTTTGTAATTTGTAGCAATTCATGCATTTAAAAAAAAAAATCTCTCTATCCATCAGTCAACCTTTTCCCATGAAGAAAAGACATCAGGCATTTTCGTTTTATTTAGCCTACCCTAGCCTAGGGGTGTGCCATCAATTCAAGTATTTTTAAAATGTATAACAATACACTTTTTGTAAACAGTCATACAAACTGGCCACTTTCCTTTACTCCTCTTCAGAAAACAAAAATACCCTTTAAAAAAAAAATGTAACTGTATCGAAAACGAATATTTGATATAAAAACAAACAACAACAACAGTAACAACAACAACAACTCAACAACAACAACCCCCCCCCCCCCCCCCCCCCCCCCCCCTAAAAAAAACATAAAAAAAAAAAAAAAAGACACGACACGAAAAAAAAAAAATGAAAAAAAAAACAAAAACAACAACAAGAAAAAAAAAAACAACCCAAAAACCACAACCCCCCCCCCCCCAACTTTGATTAGTTGATTAGAAGCTTAGTTTTGTTTTAAGATATAGGTTAGTTATATTTATATATTGTATTACAATATATAATGTATGAAGAGAAGGGCCAAACTTTTACTTATTTCTACAACTTACTGAAATAGCATTGATAGAGTGTTGTACAGGATAGATACCATATTTTATTACCATTAGGTAGGTCACAGGATACCAAGGATACCACATTTTATTACCATTAGGTAGGTCACAGGATACCATATTTTATTACCATTAGATAGGTCACAGGATACCATATTTTATTACCATTAGATAGGTCACAGGATACCAAGGATACCACATTTTATTACCATTAGATAGGTCACATGATACCAAGGATACCACATTTTATTACCATTAGATAGGTCACAGGATACCAAGGATACCACATTTTATTACCATTAGATAGGTCACATGATACCAAGGATACCACATTTTATTACCATTAGGTAGGTCAAAGGATACCAAGGATACCACATTTTATTACCAATTGGTAGGGCCTAGCCAGGATTTTCGGAAGAGGGGAGTTAAGACGACCGAGCCGCCGAGTGGGGATGCCGCCCCCCCCCTTCCCCGGGGGCTCCCCCGGTTGACAAGTCTGTGGTGGCTTGTCGATTGGGACAAACCCCTCGACGTTACCCGGGGAACACAACGACTGGGCGCCCCCCCCCCCCCCCCCACCCCCCCCCTGCCGAGTGGGGATGCCGCCCCCCCCCTTCCCCGGGGGCTCCCCCGGTTGACAAGTCTGTGGTGGCTTGTCGATTGGGACAAACCCCTCGACGTTACCCGGGGAACACAACGACTGGGCGCCCCCACCCCCCCCCCCACCCCGCCCCGGGTGGGCAGACAAGGGATATGCTCGGTACCTGCCGTCAATAAAACATCACCTACAGTCTACAGGGCTGCCAGCTGTGATGCTTCACAATGGGAAGTAAAGGCAGGGTAGGGACCATGTTCACACGATGCCGTTAATGGTTATGGGGCGAGAGGTGAAGGTGGTAACCTCTAGCCGATGATTCTTACCACGCAGCCCTGAGAAGCTGCTCCAAGGCAACCGTTTCGTCCAAGCTACTTCGCAAACTAGTTGCGTGATGGAACCCCACTGTAGAAACCCTCTAAAATCCTAAGATCGCGTGCACTGTGTGCAAACACAGTGTCGGACCTACCGGTTGTCTTTGGGTTGGGGCGGCCCCCAGCGGAACTCGATCGAGCGGACTCTGGTGGGGGCTGTCCTGGCAAAGAGACATCTCCAACGTGTCGCTTCGTGGCCCGATACCGGGCATAGGGGGTTGGTGCTTTGGGGAGGGCATAAAGAGCATTAGCTTGAAGGCCCGCTGAGGCCATTTCTTAATGTGACATTTCAGTGAGGATGGAGACGCAAAATTAATTGTTAAAAGTCTAGATTCTTTTCTTTGGATTAATAAAAAATAATTTTAAAAAAATATTTCAATTTCACATTATCTTCGAACTTTTTGGTGAGTTTGATTCTACCGGTACTTTACTAAAACATCACGGTACTAAAGAACTCTTCTTGATCTCGTCCTTTAATTTTTTTTTTTCTTTTTAAATTTGAAAACTCATCAATGGTATTTTTTAAATCAAGCTACTGAGGTAGGCCTACATCGGGTCCTTTGTGTACACCCGGTTAGACTACGTAAATAGAATACAGCCCCGACGACATGGAACGCCAAAGCATAACAGGACTTGTTGACGTAGACTGTGGGCATTTGATACTCGTGACGTAGCAGCAGCCATCATTGTTCAAGACTTTGTAAGTGTGCTCGTCACGGAGGTGGGCCACTTATCGAATCATCCACCCGTTCCAGTCAGTTGAGGACCTGTGTAACCTATCATCGTATCAGGCTGGGGATTTCAACGGGTCACAGTTTTGTAAAACTTACTGCCTATTAACAAGTTCCCCACAGCGAATAGTTAGTAGTGACAGAATTGGGCAGGGGTGGGAATGTCACTCTCCCCAGAATGTTGTGCATCGCCTTATATGGCGTCCACTGTTAAATTTATTTTGTTCGCTTCGTCGGTGAATTGTGGCAAGACTAGACGAGATGGGCAGTGTTGCCTATTTAGGGGCCGTCCATAAAGTACTTCACGCGTCATAAAAAAAGGGGGGGGGTTTCCAATAAAGTGGGACACGAGGGGGGTGCTGCTAAAGCTATTGGGTGTCGTCACAATTTAAATATATATATATTTATATATATATATACATGTATATATATAAATATATATTAAATCTCACACATAACACCTGAAATTGTCAGGGAAGTGAAACTTTCTGTTGTGATGGATGTATACTGACAGAAGATGTCTCTTTTGTAAATTTAATACCGTAGTTTAATGACAAAGTATCTTTGAGATTAAATTTTAATTCGTTTTTATTTTTTTAACAATTTTTTGTTTCAAAAGTGTGACGTAATTTAGGGGGTGGGGTGGGGGGTCTGATATTTGTGTCAGGGGCAAGAAGAAAGTTAAAAGATTTAAAAAAAACAAAAACAATTGCGTAACGTACTTAATGGACGGCCCCTTAATGTCAAGGTCACTTTTAAGATCGACATGAAGCTGAGAAGGTTAGAGCACACTCGGCCCTGAGGTACCGGTAGGTGTTTAGATGTCACGATGATGTCTGTCAAAAGAAGTAGGTGTTCAGATGTCACGATTATGTCTGTCAAAGAATAATGAAGCACAGCAGAGGAAACATGTAACAAGTTGTTTCCTTGCAACTTTCCCCAGGGCCCAGGGTGCAGTTCTCAAACTTAAGCTTTAGATAAGTATTTTAAATCTGAATCAGCTGTCCCTCCACAAAACTAACCACCCGAGTAACATAAAAAAAAGTAGTTATCAAATATTCCGCAATTGAAGCAAAAATTTAAAAAAAAAAAAAAAGGTAAGACTAAAACCTCCGAGACATGAATTTTACTGTAGCATATTCAGATGTCTCAAATTACTTTACTTTATCTTCTAGTTCTGACAGGCTTGGCAGTGGGGGTACATATTGCACTTGAACAGAGTTAATTAGGTCTTTTCAAGCATAAAAAAAAAATTAAAAACCTAGGTATGAAGCAGAATTATCGTACATTTGTACAACAGAAATTTATTTGAAGGTAAAATTGTTCGACTAAGGTTGCGAGTTCGAACGGAATTTGGCTCAAAATAAAATTATGAGGGGAAAAATAAAAATAAATGCAAATTAAAAAGTTCACATTTTCCCCCATTTCTCCCTTGCCATTTCCCTTAAAAAATGTTACAAAAAACCAGTAATAAATGAATCCGTATTAAAAATTTCATTGCAACAAACTTCTGTTTGAGCAAAGTCTGTTTGCACACATTTCATGATACGATGTAGCGGCTAACGCTCAAAATCTACTTCGTTCTTAAACTTTTTTATAATCTAACCTGGCGTCAGTCAACCATTGGCATTAAATTTAGTACGTGGGATCCTATTTTAATTTTTACTTGACTGAACTAATGACCAATGACCACGTTCCATTAATTTTTCAGGGGATCAATGAGTGTTTAAAAAAAAAATGCAAACAGATGTTGGGGATTACAATAAATATTTAAAAGATGTGGCAGTGTTTTTTAAAATAAATGAACAAGGGAACCACAATTATCTTGTAACCACGGGTTGATGTTTTTGATGGTGACCACCCTGTTAACTTATCTGGCTGGCCATCTCTGGCAGGGCATTGACTTTCTTAATACCTAAGTTACCCTGGCATTGGCTTTCTTAATACATAAGACTGCCTGGCCATCTCTGGCATTGACTTTCTTAATACCTAAGGTAACCTGGTAATCTCTGGCATGGAATTGACTTTCTTAAAACCTAAGGTAACCCGATCATCTCTGGCATTGCACTGGCTTTCTTAATACATAAGGTAACCAGACCATCTCTCGCATTGTACTGGTTTTCTTAATACATAAGGTAACCAGACCATCTCTGGCATTGACTTTCTTAATACATAAGGTAACCAGATCACCTCTGGCATTGACTTTCTTAATACATAAGGTAAACCAGACCATCTCTGGCATTGACTTTCTTAATACATAAGGTAACCTGACCATCTCTGGCATTGACTTTCTTAATACATAAGGTAACCTGACCATCTCTGAGATTGGCTTTATTAATACATAAGGTAACCTGACCACCTCTGGCATTGACTTTCTTAATACATAAGGTAACCTGAACATCTCTAGCATTAACTTTCTTAATACATAAGGTAACCTGACCATCTCTGGCATTGACTTTCTTAATACATAAGGTAACCTGACCACCTCTGGCATTGACTTTCTTAATACATAAGGTAACCTGACCATCTCTGGGATTGGCTTTCTTATTACATAGGGTAACCTGGCCATCTCTGGCATGACACAATAGATATGGTAATCATACCAAACAAGATATTTTTGGTCCAACTAAATTTTTTCACAAATCCATATTAGAATTTTTGTCACCAGAATGGACAAAATGATTTAAAATACTGCACCCAGTGATCATCTATAAAAAAAAAGGTAGTTACTTGGGTTGTCAGTTCAATGCCTCTAGTTAAGGATCTAGTTAGTTAAGATCTAGTTAAGGATTCATCTATTGTTAATTTACCAGTACCACATTATAAGGTGGTGTTTAAAAAAAATAAATAATTCTTAGTATAATTTCTATACCTCTATTTTTTAATGCTGGCAATGAGTTCAATGACACTATTTTTTAAAAAGAATATTATATAAGTTTTGAAACAAAGTTTTCCTGATGTAATACACCAGTGCCACCCTCAAGTACTGATCTTAGGACTGCCCCTCTTTAACTCAAACATTCGACCCAAGTTTTCATTATCAATTTAAAAAAAGAAAAGAAATTGATGTATTAGTAAAAATTACCTGGCACTAGTTACAACTCACTATAACATGATGGTATGTTAAAGAGTATGTTTTATGCTAAAGAGTATGAAATGCTAAAGAGTATGAAATGCTAAAGAGTATGAAAAGCCATACCACAGACAAAAAACAACAAGATGAGATTTCAGATATTTAGATTTCATAGATTTATTTTTTATTAACAAACATTATCATGTAAATTATATGCTGCATATTAAAAACCCTATCAACATCTTATGCAAATGACAACACCTTAAAAATTAGCTCAATGAAAAGATACAAAAGAAGGACTGAAATGAACATAAGTGCCCTTCTGAACATGAATTAACAAAAAAAGGACATCTTGGTGAACTTTTTATTATTGGTTAAAAGGCAAATATTTCAGGCAGAGAAACAAAAAAAAAAAAAAAAAAAAAAAAAAAAAAAAAAAAAAAAAAAGACAGATTAACTTTTACTTTTGATGTTACTAGAATAAATTTTTTTTTTTACTATAATCTACTCTAAAGACACAGTGGTAGTCGTGTACATTCTAATCTCATTTAAACAAAAGAAAAGAGTCTCTACACATTAAATTGAATGTTTAAATCAAAACAAAAAAAACAATCGACAAAACCATGCATCCTAAAAAAAAAAAAAAAAAAAATTATTAAAAATTTTAAAAAAAAAAAAAAAAAAAAAAAATAAAAAAAAAAAAAAAAAAAAAAAAAAAAAAAAAAAAAAAAAAAAAAAGACAGATTAACTTTTACTTTTGATGTTACTAGAATAAATTTTTTTTTTTACTATTATCTACTCTAAAGACACAGTGGTAGTGGTGTACATTCTAATCTCATTTAAACAAAAGAAAAGAGTCTCTACACATTAAATTGAATGTTTAAATCAAAACAAAAAAAACAATCGACAAAACCATGCATCCCATCTTCATGTAATAATATGATTAAAACTATTTTCACATTTGAATGTTTTGAGCTCTGAGTTGAAAAGTTGCTTTAAACGTTTGACATGTAAAAACTGAAATCTCAGATAATATTTGTGTTCCTCTCTTCCCACCCCATTTTACTCTCAGAGGACAGCAGCTTTCACACCCCCCCCCCCATCTGCCCCCTATAAACTATTTTCTCAGATCAGATTTCTTTAAACGTTTGACATGTAAAAACTGAAATCTCAGAAAATATTTGTGTTCCTCTCTTCCCACCCCATTTTACTCTCAGGGGACAGCAGCTTTCACCCCCCCCCCCCCCATCTGCCCCCTATAAACTATTTTCTCAGATCAGATTTAAGAGTCGCCAGTTTCTATTTAGTCTGACAGTAGAGTGGTTCGAACCAACACCTCGGTCACAGCATACGGGTCACAGTTGGACGATGGTCTCCTGTCCTCCAGGTAGCCGCTCCTGTCTTCAGCCACCTGTTGGACAAATGAAATGAACAATAACGGGTCACATCTGTTGATGCTATCACCATAGCAATGATTATAAATGCAGATTTTATTCATTGATGATTACTGAATGTTTCTCACCCACTGGCATATGGTAATTACACAAAATTAGAATTAATTTTTTTTCATCTTTGCATGATCCAGTTGATTGTTGCCTAATAATTATAATGATCATTTTATCATGCTTACATTCTTTAATTATGAATTAATTTGGGAAAAATTAAAGATGGGTTCTTAAATGACTGTATTGTTTGGTGTGACTCTTAGGTATCAGCTGTTGAAATAAATTAATCAATGAAGAAAACATCCATATTCTGAATAATTTTTAAAATTTGTCTGCTCAAAGTTACCTGACGGGGTATTCTTATACTCGCTCCACGGTTGGCTACTCCTGCTGAGAAATCGTGGATGCTAGAAGTCTCGTGACGGCCAGTCAGACGACGTTCATTATCTTTGCCCTCACGTGGGTCGTAAGCTTTGATGTGGCGGACATGATGCTTGGAGAGCTTTTCAATGGCTTCCTCAATCGCTCTGAGAAGTTTATAAAATACAAATGGCTATTATATATTTAGTGTTACCCATTTAATTTTAATTTTGCAAAAACCTTTTTAACCCACCAACTCTTGGTCGGCCGAAAAATCGACAAACATTCTCGTTCTGTACTGTGGCGGCCGAAAAAAATCAGCCAATAAAAAACACGGTCCGATAGCAACTTCCAATCCAATATTTAACCGGAATTATAGCCACTTCCATTTAATTAATAATTAAATCATCTTCAGGTTCAAGCTGTTTCTTGATTACTTAAAAATAATTAATTAATAATAAACTATTTAATCGGAGTTTTATATCACTGTTTTTTTTTAAAAGCTAAAATGGTTGAAGCCATGGCTGGGGTCATTCAGTGCAAGAACTAATAGAGATATGTTTGAAAGCCATGGCTGGGCCTTCGGTGCAAGAACCAATAGAAATATGTTTGAAAGCTTTTTAGGAGAGGATTTAAGTGATACAGATGATGATTTTAACATTCCCCATGACGATATCAGTTCAGATTATGCTTCTCGTGAATTTTATTCTAGTCTCTTAGTGATAATGAAGTAGGCCTTCTGAGGCTACTGTTAGACTTTGAGCCAGGCCCGGAGGTTGGGCAAGGACTGACTGAATTTTAGTCACAGAAGCTACAGATTGTAGTTCAGAACTAATAAATTTTATAGTTAAACGACCCAAATCAGTTCCACAATTCCTTTTTAAATATTTACTAGTCAATAATACCTATTTTGCCTGAGATTTTGTATTTTGTACTTGGTTTTAGCAGTAGTCCCAGTTTCTTATATAATTGAACTAAAATTACTAAAATTGCTTTCAGAGGTTTAATTGCAATCAAAACTTAGCAAACTGTACATTTTCTGAAAGATAAATGAATTGGCTACAACATTTAGAATTTTGTTTTAAGTGTATCTATACAAATTAATGATGTTATGAGCACTTGAAAGCCAGACATTTTGTTAATTTTGTTCTTGAGAACTCCAAGGTCAAGGACACTGAGCAAAAAACGGGATGGGCAATATGGCCAACTTTATCCCCATCCATTTACCTTTCTAAAATATATACTTATTGGGCTCTTGTATCAATATTTCTATGTCATTGAATGCGGTTTCAAATGGCACTCAAAGCGCTCTGAAAAGCTCCGCACCACAGAATGATGCATGCCACAGTTCGTGGGTTAAGTAATATTAAAGTTATTTTGCCAGATTTAAAAAATACCCCAAAAATTTTAAGGATGTCAAAAAATTGGAAGGGGAGGGCAGATTGCAAAAAAAAAAAGACCGACTTACTTGATACCATTTGGTTCCCTCATCGCCTGGGTGCTGTAGTTGCAATGAGCACCCGCTCCATTCCAGTCACCTTCCATGGGCTTGGGGTCAAGAGTGACAATCACACCGAAATCCTCGGCAACACGATGGAGGATGTACCTGGCAATCCACAAGTGGTCTCCCATGTCAATGCCCTCACATGGCCCCACCTGGAACTCCCACTGTTGAAAAAGAGACGAAATAATCTTAATATTCAGTCATGAAAATGGAGTCATTCCCAAAATGCATATACTCTGAATAATATGTTGATTTGACTTATTACGCTTTGTATTATATTTTTGTTTCTCAATCTAAGGTCAAGTAAATAATTCATGAAAACTAACTAAAGCCTCACCTTGGCAGTTCATTTATTTTAGAATTAGTTTACAAAATGACAAAATCTTTTTTTTAAAAAAAATGTACAATACTCCTGCAACTGTATCCTTGATTTGATGAAAATACTGGGCAGTAAATGTATAAATATAAAAACAAAATACACATCCCCATTAAAATACATCAATGCTTCCATATAAAACACGTATATCCGTTTGCTGACCTGGGCTGGCATGACCTCTGCATTGCATCCACTGAGCTTGACCCCAGCGTACAAGCAGGCCCTGTAGTGGGCCTCAACCACATCTCTGCCATACACCTTATTTGAGCCAACACCGCAGTAGTAGGGGCCTGGAGATGACAGGACGTAGACACATGAATGAAAACTTCAATTATATCAATATTATAATATTTTTCTTAACTACATTAAAAAGGTAGATAATACTCCAGTTTAATACTAATGCACTAAGTTACCAGTAGGCCTATATACATTTTTTTTTTTTAACACTAGGAATCTCTCATTTAAAATTAAACTAATGGATAAAGCAATTTTTAAAAAAAAAGTCTCTGAGGAGACAAGTCAGATTAAAAAAAAAGATAAAAAAACAAATAGAAAAAAACAAAAAGACATCTGATATTAGAGACAGGTCCTGAAAACTAGTCAGGGGAGGGTTTGTCAAATAATTCAAGGCAACATGATCTTCTAAGAAATGATACATATAGGCCTACAGCCTTAGACTAGAAACTGATAAGAGAGAGAGGGGGAGCATGTGAAGGTGGTGACCCTTACTGAAGTCATCTTAAAATGGTTTTATATTTTGACCTTTTTAATGTAATGTAATCGCTAGAAATAAGATAAGATTAGGTTAGATAAGATTATTTTATTCCACCGAAAAATTGGAAATAAGTTTAAATTACATTTTACAAATTCATTTTCTGCACATGGATCAATATTCTCACAACATTTTCAAACGAGGGATTTGAACAATTTAAACACCAGACAGCTGGGATATACATTTCTGAATTAAGAAAACAACATTAAGTACCCTTTTTAACTGTATATGTTACTGGAGGTCCTTAGAATCCCCAGTCTACAACACTGGGGAAAAAAAATCACAGATTTTCAACATTTTGTATTCCCAGCAACCTTCAGCAAATGTTTGATAACTCCTGACAGGCCTCACAGAAGTAGGTGGAGAAATTCATGATAATAAAACTTTTGACCTTATGCTCCCCCTTGGTTCCCATCACTAAAATGGCACCAACAACTAAAATGCCAGACCACACTACTGTACTGGGGAGGGGCTGTAGACCAGACACCCCAGGTTGAGAATCCCTGCCCTCCACTGTAAGGGTTCAGTGAACTTTCATCTCCCAGGGTCCAATTCAGCCTTGAATGAGCCACAAGAGGCCTGGTTGCATAACATCTTTATTTCCTGGGCCGAAATGAACTGGTGGAAGCCAGCAGAAGTAGAAGGCATATACTGTACTTTGTCTCCATTTAAAAATAGAACAGACCCCCACTCTCTTTCCGCCTCCCACCCCCGACCCCACACACCATTTTTTTTTTCTCAACTGAAAACACATGTGTTGCAGCAAAATGGGATTCTTGTGTTACTCTATAAAGTGTTATGAGGCAGCAACAGCTGTCACATTTAACTCAGTAAGGTCTATCTACGCTAATAATGGAAATTGATTAAAACTATTAACAGATTTTTTTCGGAAAGTAATGTGTATCACTAGGTGGTTAGCCTACATGTGTCGCATGATAAGCCATTACATGATAAACAGAAATATGGAATTTTGAAAATATTTTGTTTGCTATTCATTTAGTATTAGTTTTTAATTCCCTTTAACCTATTTTTAAATAAAGGGTCACAAGGAGCCCCACTAAGTCTATAGTCAATGATTCCATGTGACCTTGGCCTTGTGCAAAGCATGATAAACACCATTTAGTAAACACATTCGACTGATTGAAGTCATTCAACATAATATATAATTATAATATATGGCGCAGAAATGCGAATCTTGACTATGATTAATGATTATGACTTAAATGAAGTCAATTAATATGATCCTCTACCAACTCTTCTTCACTACAAATTGCCAAGTGACTTGACAACGAAGTCTAGTCTTAACTCTTAGTAGCCTAGTTTACTATATTATTATGGTAATGAATTTTAGGCTTAAACTTAAATAATCTTTTTAATTAAATCGGGTGACCGACCTCAATTTTCGTAGCATAAGCCATTGGCATTGTTCAAATCAATCTTGCATACCGGTACCGAATTTGTTGTTGTTAATGATTCTGCTCCTTACAAGAGGCAAAGACAATGTGAAAGGAAATGCCCCATAATAAATTCGGTGGCTCACTGCGACAGACCCCCCATTCAACTACAAGTGGCTGAGTCAGCCATTAATGAAAATGCACCGACAGACACCAAAACTTGTTTGCTGACCTTGGCTGGAAATAAACTCTAACCTTTGTCCTCGCGTGTCTGCCAAACAGTTGATGTTTATGTCAGAGGAGTAAATTTAAAATTATGCAACGGAAACAACAAAAAACAATGAACCTTTCATATTTTAATGTATATATACACAAGATTATACACATTAAAAAGTTATCCTAACATGGGTTCCGTAGCCTTTAGTTTTATCTGGCTTAGGGGTCCTTGTGACATGACAGGTTAAGAACCCCTGGGTTAGAGGGTTATGCCAATTCATAACCAGGGTGCTTTTTTTAAGGTAAGATGGAAAATATTTAAAAAAAAAAAAGGTGGGGGAGGGGGGAAGGGGCTAAATAACTGCAAGTAAGTTAAAGGTCATAGAATTTATTATTACACGTTTCCAGCTGTGATGGCTTTCAACCCAAAACATGGCTGCAGTGCCTGTAGAGCAGAAACTGTGAACTTGACAATGACACACTTAGATACGGACGGTTCTTTACATCTCGGTTGTGTGCCATTTGTAATGGACAAGTTGCCAGTCTGTACACATTCTAAGTCACGTGGGGGAGGGGGGGCAGTCACGTGGGGGAGGGGGGGAAGTCACGTGGGGGAGGGGGGCAGTGCCAGCCGTGCCAGTTGACTTATTGTTGGACATATTTTTGCTCGGGGGGGGGGCACTGGGCTTTCTACCGGGAGGGCAATNCCCTAAACCCCCCCCCCCCCCACCACCACCACCCCCTATAGCCAAAACTTTGACCCCCCCCCACCCTCGCTGAAGTGCATGAGTTCCCATTTTGCGTTGGAATCCCGAGATGGGCTGCTTCATCTTGAAGCTAGAGAATTTCCTATATGGTTCAGATTTCAATTTGGTCT